GGCCGGTCGCGTACGCGTACTCATCTCCTTGCGTCAGCATCACACGCGCCGCTACTCAGGGGGCTCCCAGCACCGCTGCTCCCGCTGCGGCTAGCTCGCGCATGACCGTCACGGTGCTGGGATACGCTAATGCACAGGGGAGCTCGTACCTGCTCCTCCTCTCGTCACTCCTTCTGCCACTCCTGCTTCTCCAGAAGCCTATGGGTGCGTTCGCGCTGGCCTTGGGAGCGTGGCAGATCCTCACGCTGGCGGAACTGGTCGATGTGCTAAAACTCCGCGAGTCGCCTGTTTCGCCCGTGGTGCTGGCGCTGATGGGGTCGTTCTACTACTTCAAGACTGGACACCAGGCTACGCTGGCGAGCTTGCAGTGGGAGAGCGCGTTTGTGCCGTTACATGCTGTTGTGTACCCATGGAGCCCCCTGATGGTGGGTTTGAATACTTTTGGTGGCCCGATTCTGGCCGGGCTGGGAGTACCGCTTGTGGTGCTGTGGAAGAGGGAGGTTAGGGGTGGGGGCGTGGCGGGGGAGGTGGCGAGGGGGTTGGCGTGGTGGTTGCTTGTTGTGCTGGGGTGGGGGGTAGTGACGGCGGGGGGGGCGGGGTGGTTGAGGAGGCATTTGATGCTGTATAGGGTGTTTAGCCCGAAGTGGATGATGGCGGGGGCGACGGGGTTGATGGTGCAGGTTGGGGTTGGGGTTGTGGTGTGGTTGGGGGTTGCGAGGTGTGTTGGGGGGGTGGGAGAGGTGTTTGGGTGGGTATAGATGTTTGGTTTACTTGTGGGGTTGGATATTTAGATGTGGATATGTTGTTAACTAAGCTGTTGGATTGGCTATTGTATGTTGAATAGAGATGTATATACCTTTATTATAAAACTATGTAACGTACATGTATAGCGAAAGCGCCAAACAAGCGAAAGCGCCAAAATTATCTACCCTCACGACAAACATTGCGATAAATCTACCACAACATTAGAAATCAATTGAAACTACTCGGAGTCCTCTTCCTCAGAGGTGTCTATTACAATCTGACACGTGCGCGCATTGTGCCCAGTCTCACCACACTTGCCACAGCGACGGGCACGGGTTTCTTCCCTTGGCTTCCGACCACGGCTTGCCCTTATTTCCTGCTCTACCTGCTGCACAACATCCCTCTCATCCTGTAGCTCTTGCGCCCCTTGTTGACTAAGTGATCCTCCTTGCTGTAGTCGTGTTTTCCTAGCTCTCCGGCGCTTGCTTAGTACTTCATTTGCCTGTCGTAGGTTTTGGTTCTCTCCCTTTAGCAGTGCTAATTGATGCATTATTTGCGATGCACCCTTTGTAAACTGGTCAACAGCTGCATAGATTGAGGTTGGAGAGCTATTTTGATGGCGTGAAATCCGAGTTTTAATAAATGTAGACTGTGACATAGCTTCAATTGGGTTGTTTGGTGTCTGAGAAACCCAAGGTTGAGCAGTACCTGGGCGGGAGCTTGGAGGCGTTGGTGTCCTTAACTTAAGATCAAGTGTAGATATCACTCTCTCAGGGTCAAATGGAAGAAGCCCTGCCCCTCGGAACCCGCCTCGAATGTTACTTTCCGTCATTGTAGTGTTAAATGCAGCGTGGAAGGCAGGAAAGAAGTCATCCTTTGTAATATGAGAAATATGAGCCTGCATCATATCTTCAATTTGCCGACCATAGGCCTGCTTTAACGGGCCGAAACAGCCAACATCAAGTGGCTGCAGTAGATGAGAAGAGTGAGCAGGCATACAAAGCGTAATAATGTTGTGTTCCTTGCAGTACTCCTCAAACTCATCTGAGTGGTGGCTCTCATGACCATCAAGGACTAACAAGCGATAACCACCAACACTCCGGGCCTTTGTATGCTTCTCAAAGTGCTGAATCCAATCCATGCCTCTCTCGTTTGTAGTCCAGCCATTTTCAGTAACAGAAATCACCCAATCGCTTGAAAATCCACTATTCTCATACCAAGATGTAAGGTGGTTTTTGCCTGCAACAATGATAAATGGTGGTACTGCCCAACCTTGAGAACTAACGCCTTGGATTACTGTAACCCATTCCCGATTACCAGGCTGTACCTTCTTTGCTTTTGCCCGCCCGTCTGAGCTTGTTACAACCATAGCAGTTGAGATAACGCCCATCATAAACCCAGTCTCATCAAAGTTGTAGATATCTGCTTCATCGATACCATATTTTGCAATTGTGTTACGCACAAGCTCAAACCAGCCATTAATAACTTCTGGATCTTCGCACTTAGCCCTCTGGTAGTCGTATTTGCGCTGAAAGCGTGTCTGGAGCTCTACACGCCGCTTAACAAAGTTTGAAGCCCAACGCGACCCAACGCGTGACTGTAATGGTGGGTGCACCAGATATGAGAATCTAGCCACCCAAGGAAGGGATGAATTTACTAAGACAACACACTGTCTTAGGAAACAGAGCCAAAGGGTTGTAGCTTAGACTATTCCACAACGCAGCAATCAGGTGTATGATGTGGTGAAGTGGTTTAGACAAGTTGCAACAAATGTTGAGTCTGAGAACTCAGGGGTAAGTCCGAGGTTAGCACCTCACTGACTTTTCAAAAATAGAGAATAACAAGATCAATGCTTGGAAGCTTGGAAAAGACGTAGAAGTATGTGCTAGTCGATTTACTGTATTGCCTGCTTGCCCTTTCTTAAGGAAAGGGCAATCCTATTTATGCCAAAGGAGTGTAGTTCTCTCATTTTCCATGACTTTCCATGACTAACCAGGCTTGGTAAATGTATTAGAAATCAAGTGCGACCCACAACTAGCTTGCTAATCATGTAGTGAACGTAAGAGAATCCCATAGAACCATCTCTTGGGTTCCTAGCCTATAGGAAGTGAAAAGGAGGTCCAAGGTCAGAGTACCTATAGACAAATTATGTCATAACTTAACCAATCTTGTGGGTAACTAAGGAGCGATGACGTGTAATGAATCATAGAGGGTTGTAGAAGCTTCTAGAGCTATCGTTCATGTTCCTAGGCCTCTAGTTGGTAGAGATATGCCATGTGGTAGTATTGGCCCACCCCCTTAAGGAGGAGATTTTCTTAATAACTTGTTCAATGAGTGTCCAAATGATATGCCGTGATGTATGTAGCATAAACAGATGTAGTAGAAGAGTTTGCAGCAATCGTTGAGTAGTATTGCTTCTGTTGTTGGTGTGATAAGCCAAGATATGTATGGTGACTTGTAGGTTTGAGGAGGAGATTTCTAAGTTTGCTCTTGAGTTTGATAGCAAACTGAGTGCAACGAATGTCAGTATGACAGTGACGCGTCGCGTGTTGCAAGTAGTCGACTTGCCATATCTTCAACAACAGACAGCCGAGGAGGAAACCCTTTGGCAGCTAGGTCGAGTATATACTGAACAAGGACGGACTCCTCTAGGTTAGTTAATTTCCGTGAGTTGGCTTGGATATCGCGTCGTGAAGGTACACCTTCTAGACGACGACCTAGCTTGCGGTGGTCCACAGAATAGATCCTAGCAGCAACTCGAAGGCGTAACTTTGGGTCGCTTTGCATAGCCTGGATAGCTAGCACTAATTGGCTTTCATCGTTTTTATGGGGCATGTTTTGTTGTTGAGGAATTTAACATTTAGTTGGGGGGTTTGGTCACCGCATCATTTTGGCGCTTTCGCTTGTTTGGCGCTTTCGCTATACATGTACGTTATGTTATATCAACTTTTTATTTATTTATTTATAGAATTATAAGAATATCAACGCTAGTGTTCGGCGGATATATATCCGGGTAGTATCCGTGATGCCCACGGGTAGGGTATGTATCCGACTAATATCTCACGGGTAGAATAGGTATATATTTGGATATATGAGGCTAAATTCTGTGAATAGAGCATATAAAAATGAAGCTTTAGATAATACTAATAAACTATAACCTATAGCTTGAAAATATTAGACTTATTCGTGTGCCTACTATCAGCCTCTTGTATCCGACCCTAATACCGTAAGCACAGTAAATATCTAATCGTTGGCGGTGATAACCTATTCCGCTTCTTTGTAAGAATATCACTACCATTACTAAATACCCGTTCTGATGCTATAGATGTTACTAGAATTGCTAAATGGTCACGAGCAATATGGGCAATAACTAGATATTAGTATTGCTTTATGCACTAATATCTAAGGATATCCGCATGGTCACTAGGCTGTGGTTTAAGCATCTACCGCCTCTATTCTGGCTCTTGAAATGCAAAGCCCTCTAATGCAAATGGGTCTTTGTTAGAATTAGGTTCTTGCTCTGTTGTATTTATAGCACTGTTGCTTCTGCAAGAGCTGTTTCACGGTTGATACGCTCTATATTAAGGTGATACCCTCGCTTTTGGTATGTTCTACAAACGTCTTTAAATTACGCCCTTGCTCGTGCTCTTCGTGTATCATCTATATTTGGATATAACTTTTTAAATAACGTATTTCACATGCGAGCTGGTCACTGAATCTCCCACCTAAAATCAGGAAATTTGCAAGACAATAACTCAACAACAGCTTGATAATACATATTAAAAATACTTTTCTAGCCTTTTTACTTAGTTAAATCCTTATCTAGTTATTTAGGAATAATCTATGTTGTAGTTCTTAAGATATTAAGTATAAGCACTAAGATTTAGACTAGATCTTTATATCTTAACATCTACTGGTCTAATTGCTCTAAAGCTAGAATAAAGAAATCTAAATGTATAGACCAATCTGTACACACAGTTTTAGAATATATTATCAAGTTGTTGTTGAGTTATTATCTTGCAAATTTCCTGATTTTGGGTGAGAAATTCAGCGCTTGGGTGACCAATTCATTCGTAGGTCGCAAATTATAGCAACAGCTAAGTGCTTACCAAAAATCCGCCCAGTCACCACCACCCAAATCTCCACAGCCACCACCCCAAAATCCCTCACAGTCGCTCAAAACATCCCATAAATTAAAATCATTAATTTCTACATAAACTACGCCTTCGGCGACAAAATCACACCATACTTCAGCTCTAACGTCGCCTTCTCTCCCCCTCAAACGGCAGGAAATCCACAACCAAATCATCCTTCACCGCAAACACCGTATCCGTCGTCAAGTACTGGTCATCCGACGGGAAGATCTGCGTCGTCACCGGGATATACGAGTCGTGGGAAATCTATCAGGTCAGCCAGGCCCCTCACAACACTCCTTCAGACTCACCATCAAATGAAAGTGCGCCGGCCTAAACGGATGCCTATCTAGCAACTTCAACAACACACCGGCCGGCCCGTCCGTCGGCAGCGAGTACGCGGTCGGCTTCAGGTAGTAAAACCAGTACTTCCCCTTCTCGTTCGTCCTGAACTTCCCCCTCAAATTGTTGTCGGTCTGGTTGTCCGCGTCCTGGAAGTCGTACTTCCCATTCGACGACGCCTGCCAGAAATCGAACACGGCGTTGGCAACCGGCTTCTTCGTCCTCCAAGTCCAGCACCTTCCCGTGCATGTACACGACCTATCCGTCGTGCTTGTCCTGGATCACGCTCCCCCACTCCCTGAACGGCGCATTCAGCGACCAGAACGGCACGAGGATCGACGAGGACGTGGGCGATCCAGACTCGCTGGCGTGCCTGTGCGCGATCTCATCGACGAGCGACTCAAGGCCTAGGACATCGCAAATTCTCAACCCCTCGTTCGTGATTGGCGTCGAGGCCTGCCCGATGGAGTTCATGAAGCGCACGCCAATCATCTACTCATCGGGGGTCAGCTCAATCTCGGGTAAAGTCGTGGAGGTGGCGGATCAGGCTGGACAGGACGGCGCGAGTGCGGTCGTCAGTGGCGGGGTCGTCAGTGGCGGGGCCGATGGTGTCGACGACATGCTGGGTGAACTTTGGAACCGCGACTCGGCGGTCGTTGCTGCGTGTGCTGGAGTAGACATGATGAATGAGATGAGTTGCTTGATGGGATTACAAGAGAATGGGATATGATCTATATATCGCCAACCTACCGGCAAATATCTCCCCCGATGGATTGACCTCATCGGGTCTCATCCGTTAGCTCCCCGCCTCCGTGGTCCTCGTCGTCCTCTCATCCGCGACTCGTTTTGTAATTCCCGCCCCGCCGAAGAATCGGCTCGGACGAACGTAACCCCTGCGGATGAGTCTTTACCAGACGGCATTGGAGTCGGCAGCTCTCATCATCAATTAAATGTGACAAAATGGCTTCAATTCAGATAGTTAACTCATTCAAACACCGTCGCGATGCTTCACCACTTGATGATTGGGACGTGGACTCCCCCCGGAGCCATTTTCACCGTAGAATTCGACGATGAAGCCCTCGCCCTCTGCCTCGTCAAGAGGACTGAAATTCATTGGCTCATCATGATGAGCCAATCTCATGGATGACCTTTGATGTAAGCTTCGTCCCAATGCCCTTCGTCCCAATGCTCCTCATCCAATGCCTCCCCTCACCCTCATCTCCCTCGCCCTCCTCGCCCCTCGCAATTCTATTTCCTCGTCCCCTCATCCCATATCCCTCGATACCATCCCCCACCCTCCTGTTAGATCCTCTCTAACCACCTCAGCATGCAAGAAAAAAAATCTACGGCGCATCAATGAAGAAATGGTCAAGCTACGCCGTCACAGCCCCATCCGAAATCACCCACTCCTCATCCCACCCCATGGGAGGTGACCGTAAGCCCCCCGCCCATCCCAAACCAACCCAACTAACCCCCCTAGGCAAATCCGCATCCCCCGACACCAACACCCGAGCAATCTTCCTCCTCGCGGCCCAAAAACCGCCATACTGCGTCTATGGGAACACCTTCTACGACCACGCCCTCTACGGCAACGTCTTCTCCGTCGACGGGAACGGCGCGATAGAAAAGAACACCCAAAACTACGAGTATCAGGCAAACTCTGGCATCCACGAGATGGTCTTTGACCCCACCGAGACATACCTCTACTCCGCGGACCTACGCGCAAACACGATCTGGACACACAAGAAGGGTGCCGATGGAACCCTCTCCCTTGTCGGCAGCATTGACGCCCTGGCACCCGGCGATCACCCGCGATGGGTCGAGCTTCAGCCCTCAGCTACCTCTACGCCCTCATGGAAGCCGGAAAAGAATCGCCGTCTACGTGATTGACGAGCCACACACATGCCAGTCTTCACACACATCACCTGCCCCCTCGTCCCGCCAGCCCTCCCCCTCAAAATGTATCGCGGCGACGTCGTCTTCATGTCGCACAGCAAGAAAACCTCTTCGCGACGACCCGCTCCAACTCATTCGACGCCACCGGCTATATCGCCGCATTCGAGCTTGGCCCCAAGGGAAACGCCATCTGCCTCAACCCGACTCCTACTAGCGGCGGCCATTCAAACGCCGTTAGCCCGTGCCCTTGGAGCGACGAATGGATCGCGTTAAACCGGCGATCAGGGTGGATTTGTCGAGATTTACCGCTGGCAGGATAAGTTTTTGGGGAGGGTGGCACATTTAGATATCAAGGAGCCGGGGTTTGGTATGAATGCTATTTGGTACGATTAGCCACCTCCCATATGGCATGATCCGCCGCCAGGAACCCATTTTGTATGATGCCATTCTCGGCTCTAGCTAGCCGCCAGGAACCAATTATGCCATTTATGATAATGACATTTCGGAAGTAATCAGCCGCCAGCTATTTACATGATAATCCCATTCCGGCTAGTCAGCCGCAAGAATCCATCTGGTATGATAATCCCCATTTTGGATGATCAGCCGCCAGAGTCTTTTGTATGATAATCGCGGATGTCCTCCCTCCTGGGTAAGTCTTATCCCGCCACCACCCCGCAGACGTCATGAACCCGGAGACAATTATTCAGCATGAAAGACATTTAGAATACAGTTTAGAAATTACAAACTCCAAATCATACAACCGTAATCATCATGGCTCCAGGAATGCTATACGTGACTATGAAGCCGGCAGAGTCGCTGCCGGCCGATCAATTCCACGACTGGTACAACGATGAATACGGCCCTATGCGTCTACGCCTCCCATTCATCAAGAATGGCTTCCGATACCGTGCGACAGACCAGGCCAAAGACCTCCCAGAATGGCTCACCATCTACGACATCGCCGATATGGATGAGATGGTCAAACAGCCATACATCGGCCTCCGCCAGCCCCCCCCAGAGCCAACGCGAGAGGGACACCATGAAGCAAGTCACTGTCGGCAGAAAGTTGTTTGATTTCATAGACGGCCGTCAATCAGACACATTCACTCCCCTTGAAGACGTCTCTGCTGAAGGACAAAACCGAATCCTCATCTCCACCACCCAGACCGCGAAATACGACTTCTTCACCCCCGGCTGGCTACGCACTAGACTATACCAAACAGCATCAATCGAGGACAAAGAAATCGAATACCTCATTCTCCACGATTACTCCCCTGACAGCAATCCTACCGGATCAAGACGCTACAATCTCTTCTACAGCATCGGCCCCGCCTAGCGATACCTCTCCCACATCCACATCCCCATCGTTTCCACAGACAGCAAGATCAGGGAATTCCCCACCACAGACTCGCAAACCTCCGCGATCGAATCATACATCACGACCACAGATGGAGTCTCCCACCCATACCGCCTCGAAGGGTCCTCCGACCCCCAAGACCCTCTCATCGTCCTGAGCAACTCCATCCTCGTGGACTACAACATCTGGGACGGCTTCGTGTCCGCTTTCCTCTCAGAAAACAAAAAATACCGCATCGTTCGCTACCTCACGCGTGGCCGCCTTGACGCCTGTGGCGACCAACCCATCACCGTCGACCTCCTCGCTTCCGATATCATCGACATACTCGATGCCCTCCGCGTACCAAAGGCAGCGGCCGTCATCGGCCTATCCCTCGGCGACGCAACGACGCTAAACGTCGCGCTTAACCACCCCAGCAGAGTCGCCTCAATCATTTCCTGCGACACCAGCGCAAAGAGTCCAGCCGGCAACAGCAAGGCATGGGGAGAGCGGATTGAGCTCGCGCGGGCAGAAAACGCAGGAGGCGTTGTTAGTAAAAACCTAGCCGAAATCACAACACGACGATGGCTTGTCGCGGAGAACTACCAGCAGTCAGCAGAAACGTTCGAATTCGTCAAGCAGATGGTCGCGAGCAACAGCCTCATCGGTTTCGAAAAGAGCGTGCAGGCCCTATACAACTACGACATGACACCCCTACTCGAAAATAACAGAGTTCGAGCCGCCTTCTTCGTAGGTGCACAAGACGGCGCACTTCCAACAAGCATGAAGAATCTAGCCGCTTCGGTTGGAGAGTTTGTAGAAATCGACGGCGCCGGACACCTACCCATGGTAGAACGACCAGCACAATTCGCACAGGAGGTTTCAAAGTTCTTAAGTATATAGGCATGTTCAAAGTTAAAGTAAAATAGCATTATCCTATTAATATCTCATCCTCTTTCTTACCACAGGACTCTCTGCATCAAAATCAACCCGTATCTTCACATTCACCCCCCTATTCTTCGCCTGTAGCCAACCCTTCTTCTTCTCCTCCAACCAACTCAACTGATCTGTAATTTTTATTATCCCCTTCGAGTGCTCCACTTCCTGCTTGCTCACCCCCGCTGGATCCGCTGGAATCCACAGCATCGTGTCGTTGATATTATTCATTGACGGCTGCAAATACGCCTCCCTAAGCAACTCTGGCGTATAATCTGGATCTGGCAGATCCGTCGGAATATTCTCCCGCAACGCATTAAAATCGTGGAACACCTCCGGATGAAGCCACTTCAGAAGGAAGTTCGGCTTCGGATTCGTACCATCCGGGGAGATCCAAGCAGTCCAAAAGTCAATACTCTGAAAGAACGACGAGACCGACCCGGCCCTCGCGGAAAGCTTCTCTTGCATGGACGACGACAAAAAGCGCAGGGCAACCTTGGAATACCCCTTCGTTCCCTCAACTGCACGCGTCCCCAACTCCTCATGCGTGACGCCATTCGGATCACCCGGATCAAAATCGGAGTCGTATTGGGTCTCTAGATCCTCAACAATTATCGGAGCCTCCTCCTCCTCAAGATCATCATACAGCCCCTGCACCGAAAGAGATCGCGGTAAATTATACAGCAACGGCCCTAGCGCATCATTCAGAGATATCTGAACCAAAAAGGTAAAAATGGCAAGCATGAGCATCATCAGAAGCGGTCCAAATGCGGCTTGGATGCCAAAAAGCCCGATAAGACATATCTCGGCGAGATACACCCCCGTGAGAATCTGCATCAAGGCGTGGGGATATAGCAGCCCACGCGTATCGACTTCCGACGAGTAGACGTACAGCAGGTTGTAGTGATACACCTTGTGGACGAGGTAGAAACACATGGCGCCGAACGCGAGTATTATAGGGGCAATGCACGAATAGCTTATTACTGCGGGGGGTTAGCTTTGAAAAGACAACAGACAAGAGACTAACCAATTACACCCATATTGGCAAACAATGGGAAGTCACTTCCCCAATGGATCCTCTTCAGACGGTGCCACCTAGTCGATATCATCCTCGGAGTCTTTCCGTTCGCAAACACCGCTCGATGAAGCGAAGGCAGATGCACAATCCTCGTTGTGCTCATAGCCAGGCCTTGCAGAATGAGGTACGACACGTAAAAGTTGGAGGCTTTGGGAAGACTCTCGGACAGGAGATTTCGAACCGACAGCGGGTCCTCGAGTATTTTCGTGAGGGAGGCCGATATGGCCGCAGTGAGGGTCGTTACAAGGAAGACTTGGACGACTTGGAAGATGAAATATGACTTTAGAACAAACAGTTCAATCATAGACAGCGAAGGCACGCCAGATTGTCTCGCGATAGCTAAAAATGTTAGCACAGTCCAAAAAACAAAGACGACGACTAACCTCTCAAAATCATCGGCACAGTAGCCATCAACAATGACAACGCCACCGCAGGGAGAAGGCCAGTGATAAGGCCAAGAATTGGTTTCGGCAATTTTCCAATCCATTTGAGGAAAGGAACATTCTCCGTCAAGAAGTCAATCTTGGTTATCAATCCAACCCCCGCTGCTGGAAGGGACCAGAACACCACCATAACCGCGACCACTGCTGTCGCCATGAAACTTCGCATAATCCGCTCCCACCACTTCATGCGCAAAGTCGACCAAACGATTTCCTCCGGTCGGATCCCGTTTATATGCGGCGTCATATGGAATGGGCGGTGATGTGGCAATGTCTGATACGCGCTCTGGGCGTTTACGAGGGTATCAAACTCGACAAAGGCAGCAGGCATACGTCTGGCATCCCCATTGCGATGCTTTCGTCGCAATTTATATATCCTAGGCGCCAGCGCTTTCAGCCTGTTCCGCGTCCATTTGATCGTGTCGACTCGGCGCCCATAGTTTGCCAATGGGCGATGGTGTGGTCGCCAGTGGGCGGGTATCCATTGTGCTGCAACGGACCCCCTGACATTAGGAATGCCGCGTTGGATGCCCCATTTCAACTCTGGCCAATCGGAGTTGGGTGAGTCCAGGTTTGGGGTTTGGCTTTGGGTTATGGTGATGGAGGATGTCTCGTTCTTTGAGTCTTTGGTAATGCTCTTCACCATAGTTACTCCATTGGTTGAGGCTGACGAAGGCGACACGAGAGTTGTTCCGGTAAAATCTGAAGCAGGCGATACAACAGTTGCATCTGTGAGGCCTAAAGGGGATGCCAGGGTTGAATCTGTCAGGCCTGATGGGGACGCGACAGTTCCACTGTTCAGATTGGAAGATGATAACGCGACATTGGCCAAGTCCGAAGCCGACGCAATGCTTGCTCCACGCGTCAACTTAGGCGACGCACCACTGGTTAATCCTGCAGGCGACGAGGCTCCACCAGTCAACTCCGGAGACGCGAGAGTTGCATCCACCGATTCCAAAGGCGACGGACCAGAAGCAGACGTAGACCCAACAGTCAACTCTGTCGCACCCGCCCCCTCCCCTATCAGCTCAGGTGACGCCACAGCCGCTCGATCAGCCAACTCAAAAGCCGACGTAGCTCCACCAGCAAAATTCAAAGGCAGCGTGGACACATCTTTCTCCGGAGTTTCCTCCCCCTTCGAATCAAACTCACTTGCAGGAGTATTCGCCTCAATATCAGACTTGCCATTCCTCATCACCTTATTCCGCTCCACATTAGCCAACCGGATCAGTTCAATCTCGGCATCCTCTAGTCGCAAAGCTGTCTGATTCCTCTCCTTCACCAAATCATCCAGGTCGCCGCTATAAGTCGGTATCCAAACATTTTTAACCGAATCTCCAAAAAGCTTCTTCAGCCTCGCCTCGTCGCGAAATCGCTCAGGGAGGCAGGTAAACAACACGGTCCTTGAAGAAAGGCGCTTTGCATAGTATGGCGATAAAAGATACGCTTGCCGCAGGTTAATGTAATACACGCATTCCCGAGAGATCATGTACAGGATGAACCCTATTAAACGTCAGTCACAACCCCACACGCCCTCAGACAACCTACCAAAGAAGATCCACGCCAAAAATGCGTGAACAAAGTACCATGACGGCTTCTTGACATTGCCAAACGTCAATGCATCCAACTGAGACCCACCTGCGCCGCCCAGAATATGCAACGGGAAAAGAACTGGCCACGTGATGCAGGCCCCAACGATGCAGATCACGCAGAGGATCCTGAGGAAGCGCAGGAATAAGAATCCATCAATTGACGATTTGTGCAAGACGTCCAGATCCGGGGTCTTGAAGAGCGGCTTGAACCAGTTAAACCATCCGGTTGGTAGTTTTTTGGGGCGTTCACTGCGCTTTATTAGAACGCGTCTCTCATATCTGCCATGACACTTACTGAGGCTCCAGACTGCTGAGAATCGACCTGGGGGAATAGACACGAGGGTAGCGTGTTCGGCAGCCCCAGAATATCAGCAAACACACAACCGCGTAGACAATAACCGGGACGAGGGTGGCCAACAGCCCCGGAATGGAGGACGTATTAGTTCCCTTGGTGGCATTTGATAATGTCCCACCGCTGGTCGAGCCATTCCTCGCTGATCCTACCCTTGGATCGCTGTTCTCCTAAAAAGGGGGGTTAGCGGTCGCTTTGGCCTCGGCACAGCCTGGGGGTGGAGGCTCACGGCTTCGCGTTTGAGGTCGATGTGCAAAGCAAGAGCATCGACTATTAAAGCCGCCATATTCCAAGTGTATCGCGCATCGTTCAAATGTAAATGCGCTGATGAACGTTCAACGTCGTGCAAACCGTTGACATGTTGTTTTCCTATTGCGTCACGTGATGTCGGTTAGATTATGTGGCATCGATCCCTGCACCCTTGGACGGACCCCTGTAAAAAACGAAAAGCTGGGAGCTGAAGGCTGCCAGTCTTGCACCGTCGATCTGCTCTCTCCCATTAATAGCGTCTTGCGATGTGGGACGAAAATGGAATTGTCACGTGATATCATAAAATAATATCAGAGTCTCCCATTTTGGCAGGAAAGGCCGAATGCGTAGTAGGTATTATCATGTCCCACATCCCACTTACTAATACTCCCATGCTGCTTCGTCAGGTTGCCGGCGATGGAGATCTAGATGTGCACCTCCTAGACCAAAAGCATTACAATGCCTCCTGCTTCGTCAGACGTGTAGCGACGCGACATCTAGATCCTGTACAGCTGCACCTGCACAGCTTCGGAAATGTGTTGCCTTAGATCACCTAATCACCTGACCGAGATTTGTAGGACTCGGGCCAACAGGCAACGCCGACGTCATATCCGCCGTTGCTACGTAGCTTGCACCACCACCACAACCATCCAGACCATTCAAAGCCCATTTATTACACATTTCTAATTAGTGCAGGAGAATGAGTTATATATATCATGCTGTCCCACGTTCCATCTCACGATCCATAGCACTTGGCAACGCTACAAAATTTAAACCAATTTATTCGGGGTCTATTTACTATCAGGAGCGGAATATCACAATGGCAACCTCGCGTAAGGTCCAACTTTTCCCTGAAGATGCGGCTGTCTTTAGTCTAGCCAAGCCGAGCCTAGAAAGTGCTCAAACGGCGAGCCGTATCTTGCAGGAAAATCACGAGGTAAATATTATCATCCGTTGAGGAGACAGGGCTGACGTGAATAGAAATATGTATGCCACCCAAAAGATGTCAATGTATTAAACTAATATGAAAAAGAACCTATTTTTTAACGAGCAAGGCTTCCATAACCACATCGTTCACCAAGTTCTAACCCTTTACGGTCTTGGAGCCCCTCCAGATGTGATAGAGGCGCATTACAAGGCGAACACGTCTTACCAGATGAAGCCAAAGCCACTGAGGGAAGAGAACGTGAAATCTATGAGTGAGCCCGAGGGATTCAAGAAGTTTCTCGGCAATACAAAGTACACGCATGACTATATCGAATTCTTCCAGCGGGAACTAGAGGCCAAGAGCGTAGAGGCAGTCCTCCAAGAGTATTTATTCTCCAGGTCCGAGCTTGCAGAGGATCTGCTTGCCAGATTATACGGCGGTATGTCTATCACTGTACTGGATACATGCCATTGCTCACTTCCGCAGGATTTCTCCACCCCTTAATTCATCTCGGCTTTGGTCTTGAATTTAAGCAGCCCGTCATTGTCGCCGAGGCTCTCGCAGAGGCTGCAGTCCACGACATATGGCTTAAACCATTCTTTATCGGTGCCGAAAAGTTAGCCAAAGAGAGCAAAACCTCCAAAACCCTCTCTCAACTCGTCGTAGATGTTGATTCGGATGAGAAGCTGAAGGCATCCCCTAGATGGGTATGTCTGTCCACCGTCCCCTTCGAAGCCCGTGCTAACATCGCAGGCTGACGGCAACAAAATCCGAGACGGGATCCTCAAACGCGCCCCGCAAGAAATGATCAACCATGCCTCAAAGTACCATGTGCCACTGGACCAGCTCGCTCAAAAGACGGCAGAAATGATGGATGCCACCATCTTCTACACGGCAGCAGCGCAGCACCCGCCAAAGGTGATCAAAATAGACTTCTTCTTTATGCACTGCGTGAATTCGTCCATCTTCTGGCCGACATTCAACGCACTCTCCTGGATAAGCGACGAGAACAAATGCCGCTTACTAGAATGGAAAGGACGTCTGGACCTGGCAATGTATGTCTCTCGTGGCACGCCGCCTTTGTTGAAGGAGGAAATTGAGGCCTATACTACGGAAACCGGCAAGGATGTGACTTGGGATCAGTTGGGGGAGAGGCTATACAAGATTAAAAACGATGACGGACATGCAGTGAAGCTTCTGAGGGCACTCGGGACTGCAGAGCAGGTGTGCAAGGGGCTCGAAGGCGGGAAAGTGCGAAAGGGGCAGTGGCTAGGAATTGGAAGGATGGTGGTGGACAGCGTTGAGGCTGTGCAGGGATCTGACCAGAGCCCATGGGCGAGAAGTGTGGGCTTTGATAAAGCCTGGGATGATGTGAAGGAAAGGCCAGCAAAGTCTACCCTGTGAGGATGGGTATTTCATTAGAAATAGCGGCCTGAATATAAGTAATTACGAAGGTGTTCACGCCGATACAGCTATGGATGATACAATGAATTGAGCACGTTCGGCTGTGAATCAACGATAAGGTTCTACATTATCAGACAATATATGGTCACGTTCGGAAGTATATTATGATGGAAACCATATATTGTCTGATAATGTAGAACCTTATCGTTGATTCACGACCCATCGTCCCACCTGACCCTTGGAACCGTCTAGTTAAACAGCTCGACAGCATCAAAGATCTGAAGGCATTAGTATCATATTCAAGCATACGGGTGACTATACTTACGACATTAGGCTGCAAGTAGGTATCCCCACTGCTGCCGGACGCAACATCAATGGTGATGATGTTGCTTCCAGATGTGAGAGTCCCCGCAGGAATCGTCACATTATAGACCTCTCCAAATTCACGATACGCACCCCTGGTGACGGCTGTCGATCTTCTTAAGAGCTGCTGGTGTGGCTCCTTGCCAGCTGTTGACCTTCGCTACCGGCCTGGCTCCTGCGAACGACAACGTCGTTCCAATGCGGATAGTTGTAGTACCACTTGGCGCAGAAGAAAGGGTGAACTTGATCGTCGCGGGAGTGTTGACCGACTTGAACAGCGCCATTGGGAAGTCGCTGAAGGCACTGCTGCCAACCGTGTACGTTTCAATGCGTTATGGGGTCACAAGATGATATATTCTTCCATCTGCTCTGCGTGGCTCTTGGGGGTAACCCGTTCGCGGTGAGGTTAATCTTGCAATGCAAGATGGAAAGTTTGGAAGGGTTCCCCGCAATGAGGAGAACGTGGCCGGTATATTTCTTCGGCATCGGTCCATCGAATACCGATTTCAGTTGAGCATCAGTTGACCTGCGGTGAAATCTTCAAACTTAAGCATCCCGGCATATCATCGGCATTGGAGCGCCTGCCCCAAAAGACTCGGATTAACTGAGGTAAAATATCGAATATAAGCCTTTTATGACAGCTACATGATTCCAGGTTCTCCATCTGCCCGACATAGTTCAACATTGCCGACTTCCATTATGTCGCCCCTGGATCTTGCCAACCACCTTCTTCACTGCCGACCTCGCACGCTCTACAAAACTAATCGGGACAACAGCACGCTCGAGCTCGCGATCGTCGACCTGGATCCGCTTGCCCGCCGTTCTCCTCGATGGGTCCGTATCGTCAAGCCACCCGATGATGTCATCGATGCCGCGTAGGACCCAAGGATGACGTTTCACTTCTCGCAACTTGATGCGCTCGGCCGGATCCTTCACCAGCATCCGGCGCAGGAGGTCGAACAGTTCGTCGTCGATATCCTCCATCACCAACTCTCCATCCGCCCTGTAATCACCTTCCTTGATCTTATGGTCGGGGTCTGGGGTTCCAGGGTCAACAGCCTTGAGCCGCCGCCTGGGTATATATACATCTTGCTGTGCAATAGCTCTGAACAACTGGTATTCGTCTTCGGCCAGGAAGGGGATCCTGGCAAATATAAGACAGTAGAGGGTCACGCCCAGCGACCAGATATCGATCTGGTCGTTGATCCTGGGCTGTGGGGTATCGAGGTCTGTATAGCATAGCTCTGGGGCGAAGAAGGCTGGCGTGCCAACTGTCTTTGATAGCTCAACGTCGTCATCAAACTCAGTCTCATCAGACTCGGAGGCATTATCTCCTTGCTCGCCATCCCTCGTTGGCCTGCCAAAGAAGGAGACGCCAAAGTCGGATATCTTGACCCGATGCTCTTTTGTCCACAGTAGATTCGCCGGCTTGATGTCGCGGTGGACGATGCCTTCATAGTGTAGATATTCCAAGCCCAACACTGTATCTCGAAAGGTTGATCTCGCCTGGTCCATTGTGAAGCATGGGACGTAAGAGAAGTCCTCATCAAACAAGTCATTGCGGGTGACATCGTCGACCGAGGACATGTGCGAAATGATACTGTCGGCCATGCTGGGCGACCTTCCACGGTTCAGGAGCGCATCATCTCGCAGAGTGAGGGGATTGGCGCTGCTAAATCCTCCTGTAGCAGATGACAGAGTGGACGGGGTTGACGGCAGAGGGCATGGCTCGTCGTCTTCATTGTCGCTGTCGATCGGCCCAATGTCCAGGTACGTCGGTGCCATGGTTCGATGCGCCGTAGAGCTTGTACGCGACGGCGTGCAGGACGCCGCATCCGAGGCCGGATTCGAGTTGGGGTTCGAGCGGACGAGCGAGGTGTGCGACACGTGTGACGTGTGCGACACGTGTGACGTGTGCGACTGGAAGGACCGCGGGATGAAGAGCGATTCGTGCGTCGGTACGCGAGAGAGCGGCGTCACATCGTCAAACTCGTCCTCGTCATCTCCATGCTCCAAGCTCCAAAAGTCGGCCGACGAGTGCGTCTGGTTGGCCAACTTTGCCCGCTGTGCATCCTTGCGGATCCTGCGCCGTTCGAGCATCTTGAAGAGCCTCTCCTCGTCGCCGCCGTCCTCGCAGCGCAGCTCCCTCTCTATCCGTCTCCGTTCGAACGCGCAAATCTGCGATGTGCCCTTGCGCCTCCATTTAATCTCTCCGAGCTCGACGTACTCGAGGATCATGTAGATCTTCTTGTAGTCGGGGTCGTCTATCACCTCGTACAGGCCCACGATGTCGGGGTGTCGTATCTTCTTGAGGATGGCAATCTCCCTCTTCGTCTTCGTCTCCGGCGAGGAGCTGACGCGGGTGAGCCGGCGCTTCTTCGAGTATCGCTGGATGATCTTGATGGCGACCTTCTCGTCGGTCTCGATGTTCCTGGCCAGCTTCACCTTGCCGTGCATGCCGCGGCCGATTTCTCCAAGGATCTCATACTGGTTGATGAGCTTCCGGCCGGTGATGTAGTCTTGTTCGATCGCGGCTTTGTGCGTCCTGTGCAGAGAGAACGTTAGAACATGCCAAGCTTTGATGGATATGATGTGCATGGGCGACTCACTCTCGAACCTTGTGCACCTGCAATGGGTGCAGGAACGGGCTACCGGCGGGCGTGCCAGACGACGAGGCCGGGTAGAGACGAGACGGGGAGCTGTGCGAGGGGCTGTAGAGCCCCGGGCTGGACATGGCTGAGGTGGCGGCCATGCCCTGAGTCTTTATAGGGTGGGGATTCATCCTGGCTGGTGAAGTTGCTCACTGCTGAAAACCAACATGGTGGTGCGCACATTCAGTGCATAGTCTCGCAGCTGAGTGGGTGGAGTGCGCGGGATGGGAGGAGGGCGGTGTATTGTGAGGATGGGATGGTAGTATCGAGTGTCAGATGAGTATCGTATAGTTTGAGTATAGTTTTTCGAGTATAGTTTGTCGAGTATTCAATGATTTTTGAGGAAATTGTGACGTTGAGAATGAGCACCGAGCAGCGGAGTGGGAGAAAAGTTGACGGTTTGTGAGTTCGTTGAGTGGGTTGGGATGAGTTGGGTTGAGAGGGTGGCGAGGGCGGCGAGGGGCGAGGCGGGGGTGGATAAGGCAGGGCGGGCGGTGAATGGCCAAAAGTGCGGAAGTGGGTTGGCAGAAAGATGGTGGGTGAGTGACCTGGTGAATTAATTTTGAAGTGACGGCGGCGAGAAGGGCGATGACGATGACGACGGCGGCGAGAAGGGCGAGGGCGGCGACGATGATGAGGGCGATGAGGATGACAATGAGGGCGATGAGGATGACAATGAGGGCGATAAAAATGACAATGAGGCGATGATGACAACGATGGCGATGAGGATGACAATGGGGGCGATGGGGATGACAATGAGGGCGATGAGGATGACAACGAGGTCTCCAGATGAGGAATTTCAAATAAAAAAGATGGTATAAGTAGAGGATGAATACGGAGTAGAACGAGACGGGACGATGATGTCGGTAAGATCGGAGCGGAGATCAGTGATCAGTACGGGTAAGAAGTACCGTGCAATACAATTTAGTACTTGAAGGAACTGCCGTGCCGTGCTGAGGAATACTCTGGCTGTTCTGTAAAATACTCTGTAGAGAAAATTAAACTACTAGAGCGAGCAGAAATGGCCCAAACGTGAAGGATATCTATAGTATATAGCAAATGGGATATAGCATCGATATACGGATTATGGAAGGATGATGTTCACCGCAAGACTCCCATCTCCCATACCCCATACCACATCCCCCCCTACCCCTAAAAGCGACGAGATGAAGCCGCCGTCGCTACTTGCCCGCCGCCCGCCCATCCATATCTACATATCCATGGTGCCCTATCTGCCATCTGCCCTGTCTCCCTGCCCCTCGTCCGCAGATTGAACCAATCCACGGTCCACGATAAGGAAGACGCTGGGGTTGTCATGCCGCACAGGTACCTGCTTGACCATGGCTGATGGCTGATGGCGATGGCTGATGGCTGATGTCTGATGTCTGATGTCTCATCCAGCAATCTCCCTGCTGTGCTCCCAAACATGTCCCGGCATGTTGGCATGAGGACGGTAAGATCGCTGCGAATCCCGTCCATACGGGGGCAGACGGAGGTGTCAGCGGCATCAGCGGCGTCCGTGGGTCAAGACACGGTGCCAGAGATATGCTCGCTCATAAAGGCAGAAGAGACTTGGTCCTTGATTTGTAAAGGGTGCTGGCAGCAACTATCGAGTATGGGAAGCCCGGCCGTTCTTCCCTTGCAACAGCCGCCAATATTAATATTACCACCCACAGCTGCCAGGTCACGGCGAATATCCCGCATCCAAGCTATGGCCCGGGCTGGACTGTGGCCTGGCCTCAACCATAAGGTAAAGTACACACGTGTGGTGGTGTTGTGTCGGCGCCAATATCCCATATTGCACAGCATCAGATTGCCCTGTCCTGAGCGACATCTTGACTCTCCCCCCCTCCCCCCTCCCCTCTCCCCCGCACCATGCCCGCTATATCCGCAACAAAGCGAACAAACGCCCATCAACCAACATCATCCAACACCCAACTTCGACAGTGACAGTGGCAGACGTGAGACAGACGTGAGGCAGATCTCACATCGACACGCACTATCGATGCTCGGCACCATCGGCGGCACGCTTACCTCGCCCCCCCAACTAAGCACATCCCAGTCAAAGTCAGACAAACCAAGACGAAACTGCCAGATAAACCAGCCTCTCCATGCCCAAGACAGACTTGCCAGCGATCCCGCACCATAGCGCTCTTTCTCCCAGCCGAGCGGCCATGTCAGGCCAAGGAAAGGTCCAAGCACCCTCCCCTCCCATGCCTACACGACCCAACTCTACTTCCCTTCCCTCCCCTTCCCGTCCGTCGCGCAGGGCCGGCGCGCGGATCACGACCGATTAATCCCCTGTGGCCGCCTCAGCCGCGGTCCCATCCCAAAAGTTGCACGACTTTTCGATCGGGTTTTGCGACGGGCGGCCGTGCGCGAGCGAGGCATCGCAGAGTACTTGTGCAGCTCCACTACGATAGCGACTCCGCTAGTCGATGGATGCAGACCTCCTGCGCGTCATCTCGCTAGGCCCGGCTGTCAGCTCCGGCGCAAGTCGAGGATGAGCGAGGCAGGGAGGCTGGAGAGTAGTGTGCCTCAGGTTGGCCCCAACTTCCAAGACCGAGGAACCGTCATGGTGGCTTAGGCATTGCTGCGCTTTCGGTTGGCCAGGGTATAGGTACACGCCGCTTTTGATGCCTTTCGTGGGAGCAGGGGAGGAAGTCGGGCTCTCTCTTTCTTGCCCCAGCTACATAATAGCATGTACACACCAAGGCCGTCCGTGTAGGGTACTTGGTATCGTGCTGCTGCTTCACTCCACAAGACGGACTTAAGACGGACCGACACTTGGTACTGTGTTCGGTGCCGTGTAACCCTCTTGAGCACTGTGTCCCGTTGATGGTTGATGGCGACGAACACATGGTTGCGACTGCACATAAGATGCCTATGCAGGCACTTCCGCGGAAACCAGGCCGTATTTGTGAGAGGGGCTACTCGTAGGTGTGCGAGGGAAGAGAAGGCCGAAGCTGTCTTGCATGGGCCTGTAATAAAATGTAGTATTTACAGTATGTCGTATTAATATGGTACAGTATAGACAGCTCTCCTCGTAGTCTCTCGGCGCCGTGATCTTGACGTCCATGGAGAACCCTCGACACGAAAAGCCTATGACAATGTGGCGTCTCCAACAACCATATATATGACTTATGATCGGCATCAGTGTGATAACCTATTGGCCAGGAAGACCAGCTCCTCAGAGCTTCGCGCCAGGAGCCTTCAGCTTCGCCGAGGAGGCATCCCTGACCTTCGTATCCCACTTCGACTTTCCAACACCTTCCATCAACTTGCTTCGCGGAGGTGTACACGGCATGACAGGGTTCTTCAGCGGCATGAACACGTCCAACAAATGCCCCTGCACAAAACTTACCAACATCGTGGAGATCCAATAGTACAATACTCCAGCGGGCAATGCTAGCGTCAGCGGTCCCGCCGCCAGAGCGAGAAGTTTCAGCATGTTCCGAAGTCTACGTTGGAAAGCAGAGGGTGTGCCCACTAGGGCTGCGGCGCCCGTGAAGTAGTGCGAAGGCACGAGGTGAAGGAGCATTGTGGCGGATAGCGCGAAGGGGAGGATGAGGAGTGGATCTGCAGCGCTGAGGTCGACAAACCACAGAGGCCCTTCGGTTGTCATCGAAGGTTCTATCCGGGTGAGCGCAGTGGCAATGCCTGTGTTCGCGGTTGCACCAGACGCAGTTTCAGCAGCGCCTTCCGTCGCAGAAGGCACGGAGCTGAAAAGCAGGCGTAACAGTCCCTGACCCGCTCCAGCCAACCGTCGGATTGACTCGATGATTATGAGGAAGAATGGAAGTTGTAGCGCGGGTGCGATGAACAGCTTGTAGCGTTGGCAGGAGAAGGCCCTGTATATTTCCATTGTCTTGCGTGCGGCCAGCACTTTCATATTGGAGGTTCCCTTGGATAGGTCAACATTGCGCCCCAGTGCCCCTCGCCATGCTGTAATGAGAGGCGTAAGGCTCCTTTGCTTCGCTATTATGCGGCGCGACCATATCGTCAGCGGGAGAAAGGCAAGGCGGACTGCGACGGCAGCAAACGGGATGGCGGCCCACCAAGGGAGAACATGGTGGATTCCGAGGAAGGCGTTGTGAGTAGCGTCGATGACGGGGTCCAGGATTGTATATTTCTGATGGGGCGTAGCATGGAAAGAGCGTGAGGCGGCAGAGGGGAAGCAGGACAGGAACGGCTGTGGTTGTCGAGCATGTTGAAATGGTAGCCGCACTCCTTGAGAGAGTGGCCGTTGCACGAGATGCCGCGACATGAGGTTGGCTCCGAGTTTTGAGGCGTTCGGGGCCAATTGGCACGAAACCCTTTGCTAGATAGCTCTGACCATCAAGGCGTAATATGAGCCGAGAGCAGACTAACTTTGAAATAGCTGTGTCGATATCCAATCTATCGTTTGTCAATATGCATCGGGTCAAAATATCGCGGCGTCAGCCTTTCGGCACCGGGCCTTTCTTTAATTCGCCGAGAACACGAGCCCACGTGTGCTACTTGTCACGTCGCAACGTCCTCAGCCTTGCCATGCGCAAAAGCAAACATACATAGCTAATTCGGAGTTTCATCGTTCTGGGCCGTTTCCATGCTGATATAACACTTTCGTGCCACTTTATAAGGGCAGAATGATCCCTCTAGGCTGGCTCCTCGGCATCACTGCCTTGGTGACATTTGTGCCGGTAGGATTACTCCTCTACGGCCATGCGCTAGCCCAGATACTTGGAGAGGCCATAGGGTGGTACTTACTAAAGCGGACGGCCCCAAAGAGGGCAATCATTCTCAAAAAGGTTGCCGAAGACGAGGCGGCACTGGCAAAGGAGACGGCGCGCTGGAAGAAGGCCAAGGACGGCGATGAGGAGTGGGAGAGGGTCGAGAGCTATACTGTTGGCAACGCTGTGAACGGAGATGTCGCCGAGAAGGATTGGGAGGGGATCGTGGGCTTCCTACATCCATTCTGCAACGCGGGAGGAGGTGGCGAGAGAGTGCTGTGGGCAGCTGTGCGCGCGACGCAGCAGAGGTGGCCCAAGGCTACATGTGTGGTTTATACGGGCGACCACGATGTGACCAAGGAGAAGATGCTGGAGAGAGTTGAGGTACGTTGGCCTACGCTTTACAATTCACTGCTAATCAGTTGCGAGTAGAACCGATTCAATATCCAGCTCCATGCGCCAACTGTCACATTCCTCTACCTCACAACACGCCATCTGGTCCTAGCCTCGACATGGTCATTTGCAACCCTCTGCGGCCAGTCCTTGGGATCCTTGTTCATGGCCTACGACGCCTTCTCCCTATTAGTCCCGGATATCTTTGTCGACACTATGGGCTATGCATTCGCTCTTGGGCTATGCAAGCTGATGTTCCCAAAGATGCCTACAGGAGCATACGTCCACTACCCCACAATCTCCACAGACATGCTCGCCTCGCTCGACTCTACGGCCCCCAGCACACACGGCCTCAACGCCGGCAAGGGCACCGGCGCGAGGGGTGCAGCGAAGAAGGTTTACTGGGAGATCTTGGCCAAGGTCTACGGCTGGGTGGGGTCCTCGATTGACGTCGTCATGACGAACTCGACATGGACACAAGGTCATATCCGCTCTCTATGGGGCGGTTTCCGAGCTGAGCGTGGCGTCATGTCCGATATAGCAGTTGTGTACCCTCCCGTCGCAGTCGAAGAGCTTGAGAGCGAAATCGAAATCTCAGCAGAGAGTGAGAAGAAGAGGTCCAAGACGCTCTTGTACATCGCGCAGTTCCGGCCGGAGAAGAACCACACTTTGATCTTAAACTCGTTCGCCGAGTTCATGCGCACAAAGACGCCCGCCACCAAAGGCGCAAAGCTTGTCCTGGTCGGGAGTGTACGGGATGATTCCGACTCCAAGCGCGTGTATGAGCTGAGATTATTGGCCAACGAGCTCCAGATCAGAGATAGTGTCGAGTTTCATCTGGATGCCTCTTGGCCCGAGATATTAGAGTGGCTACGGAAGGCGTCTGTAGGTGTCAACGGAATGTGGAACGAGCACTTTGGCATCGGTGTTGTAGAATATCAGGCGGCGGGGTTGGTGGCGGTGGTACATAAGAGTGGCGGCCCGAAGATAGATATTGTTACAGAGGTGGAGGGGAAGCCTACTGGTGAGTTTTCCGAGAATGTCTTCTACTCTTGCAGTGATCTAACAGATATCAGGATTTCATGCGACAACTGCGACTGAATTTGCCGAAGGGTTCGAGAAGGCTCTTTCACTCAAGGATATACTTGACTGGCGTCGCACGGCACGGTTGTCTGCAAAGAGGTTTACAGAAGAGGAGTTTGCGAAGAGGTTCATCAAACAGATGGAGACGCTAGTCCTGCTGCAGGTTAACGGGCCAGGTCCTGGTAAGAAGATAGATACCCATTTTACCGAGGGATTCCAGATGTAGATTAGATATATCAAAGAAAGGCATGTATATTTTGTCATCTGCAGGAAATACACGTGAAACCTTGACACAGGCATTGCGTTGCCAGCGCAGGCAGGAGAAGGACAGCCGTCGAATTATATCTCGCGTCGTTGATATCGACTTGAACAGACCAACCATATCCTCATTATAGTCCGAAATTAAAAGAAACTGGTATCACAATCGACGCCTACCCATCCAGTCTACACTTTCCACGGCCCATCCCCAAGCACCTTTTAACGCTTTCCCCCTCATCAAACCCGACGCCCTCTTCCCTCAGAATCAACAGTTTCTTCGACACATTCCCCCCCTCCGGCAACACCGTTTTCGCTCCATCCGCCTTCGCCCCCTTCGGCGTAGACCTACTCGCCATGCCCTGTGCCGTCCCATCCTTTGCCATCTTGAACGTCGTCCGCTTGATTACTTCCCCATCGTAGCCATTGATGTAGCCGCTACACGCAGCGGTGGCAAGGGACATCGGGCGCGAAGGGGCTATTGCGTAGTGCGTTGCCGACGGCGTGGGGCGAGGATTTCAGAGCGCGGGCGAGGGCACCATAGGTCGTGACACGGCCTTCGGGGATCTGGGTTAGAGGGTGTAGACGCGTTCTTGGAATTCTGTGACGGGCATTTTAGGTGGTCGTAGTGTTTCTTTGACAGGGTCGAATGTGGATATGCCACCTTGAGGGATGCTTAGAGGCTGAACTCGGCGTACGCCAGTTCCTTTCTAAATGCAAAGATATATCCCGAAAGTTATTTGCATTGACAGACAGAATGCCGCAATAAACGCGTCGATGAGGTATTCCGGGCTTTAGGTCCTCGGCGTTTGTGAGTTTCGATATTTGACGCGGTTCCAGCCAGTGATCAATAATCAATCGCCAGGCGGGAGTCAGTCAACAACCGCGCCCTTTCAAATACATGAAAAAAAATAGCAGCTTTCTCAATATATGTTTTATACGTTTTGTGTTGGTACGAAAGTCTTCAGTTTGTTATTCTGTAGAAATTTAAATAATTAGCCCAAATTTATCAGTTTCGTTGATACTTACAGTCAACTCCCGTTAAGTCGATACAATTGGTGACACGTGGTAAATATCGTAAAAGTGAAAATATCGTTAACGTTATATTGAAATGCCAAGTATTATGTAATCCACCTATCCAATGTCTCCTGAACCAAGCTGAATTGCCTCAATTTCGCCCTCCAAACGCTCTAATGCCCTGAGGTGATTGGCTTGGAGAGAATCCTGACACTCCGTATTGTAAGGACACAGGGCACCCAGCTCACAGTAATAGCATATGAGAGTGCGAGTCGGAGGCTAAACGGATGCTATCCTATAGGTCTACTACGAAGGATACAAAAAAGATGAAGGGGGAACCCCGTTGAGTCTGTTTCCTTAACTCCCGAAACGGGCCCGACTCGGTTATCCCAACCCTAGCCCTGAACCTTCCACCGCAACAGGTCTGCATCGGCCCTGAACCCTATACACTTACCGTCCCCCACTATAGTGTAACTCGCTATATGCTCCTCTACTGGTTCGAAACCCCACCGAGTCGGATTCCATGCTTGTAGTGACCGTAACAGTTCTGAGACAGGTTCTTCGAGTATCTAGGTACGGAGGCATCCTTACACGTATACTCAATCAGAACTTTAAGGGCATTGCGAGCATCAGAGGCTGAATAAACAGCCTCTTCAGTCTCAGGCTCCTCTTCTTGCTCATCATTTTGAGTAGGATCACTAAGATGCTCATCCAAAATCTCCTGTAGTATACCCTCCTCATCTGTTGTAACTTCTGTATTGTTGATTTGCTCGTCGATAGGATTTAAAAAGTTCGAAATAGCCATTGTGTAAGGACACAGGGCACCCAGCTCACGGTAATAGCATATGGGAGTGCGAGTCGGATGCTATACGGATGCTATCCTATAGGTCTACTACGAAGGATACAAAAAGGATGAAGAGAGGAACCCCCGTTGGGTCGATCTCCTTAAGTACCCGAAACGGGTCTGACTCGGCTAACCGGCCCTAACTCTCCCCACGTGACCGTAACCTGTCCGACTCCGATCCCTTCTGTCACTGAGGGCGGAGGCATCCTTACACTACCCCCCCTCTTAAGAGAGTGTTTTGTCCGCGAAACACGCTGTGAGAATCATTTCTGCAACAGAGTGGTATCCGTGAGAATAGCATTCTATGTTGGCGGGAAATCTGTTTGTAATTGCAACTGTAACAACCCTGTTTTATGTGCCGTGGCGGGAAGGTGCATTGTATGTCATGCTAGAGTTGTGCCGTATCGACTCCGTTTCAGGTGCAAAACCAGGGTTAGCTTTGTTCGCTCTGGGGTACATTCGTTGTGGTCCGAGTGGACTCCGAATCCCATCCGCGAAACGTTCGGGTTGAACTTTGCTTTGTTCGCTCTGGGGTACATTCCTGGTGGTCCGAGTGGACTCCGAATCGCAACCGCGAAGCGTCTGGGTTGAACTGTCCTAGGTATGAAAGGAGAAGTGGCTGCGCTAACCCGATTCGGAGTTCATTATTGTAAGCCAGAGTATGGGTACGTAGCCGCGCCCACTTCTTCTTGTTGTCTCCAACAACAACGCCAGTGACTACCCATCCGAGAACAGTAAGTAACCCCTTCTTGTGGATTGTAGGGTGGTGTGCTAATCAATTGGATAGAATATTTCCAATCCACAAGAATGAGTAGGTGATGGGAGCGCGTTGGCGCATGGTGTAATGGTGGGTGCACCAGATGTGAGAATCTAGCCACCCAAGGAAGGGATGATTTTACTGACAACACACTGTCTTAGGAAACAGAGCCAAAGGGTTGTAGCTTAGACTATTCCACAATGCAGCAATCAGGTGTGTGATGTATGTAGCATAAACAGATGTAGTAGAAGAGTTTGCAGCAATCGTTGAGTAGTATTGCTTCTGTTGTTGATGTGATAAGCCAAGATATGTATGTTGACTTGTAGGTTTGAGGAGGAGATTTCTAAGTTTGCTCTTGAGTTTGATAGCAAACTGAGTGCAACGAATGTCAGTATGACATGATCCCCCTTTTAAGGACATTTGTTGGCTGTCTGCTTGCCCTTTAGCCAGGTGGCTTTCTTAGAAAGAAATTCTAGAATGAGCTTAGATGCATTTTTTAGATTTCTCTTAGGCTCCCAAGTGTTGTCACTTGTAGGATAGCCTTTCCACTTAACGAGGAAGTAGTCCTGACCTCTAAGTGTCTTTTTGTCAAGGATAGACTCTACTTCATATTCTGGTTGATCCAAGATCAGAACAGGAGGTGGATGTAATGGTGGGTGCACCAGATATGAGAATCTAGCCACCCAAGGAAGGGATGAATTTACTAAGACAACACACTGTCTTAGGAAACAGAGCCAAAGGGTTGTAGCTTAGACTATTCCACAACGCAGCAATCAGGTGTATGATGTGGTGAAGTGGTTTAGACATGTTGCAACAAATGTTGAGTCTGAGAACTCAGGGGTAAGTCCGAGGTTAGCACCTCACTGACTTTTCAAAAATAGAGAATAACAAGATCAATGCTTGGAAGCTTGGAAAAGACGTAGAAGTATGTGCTAGTCGATTTACTGTATTGCCTGCTTGCCCTTTCTTAAGGAAAGGGCAATCCTATTTATGCCAAAGGAGTGTAGTTCTCTCATTTTCCATGACTTTCCATGACTAACCAGGCTTGGTAAATGTATTAGAAATCAAGTGCGACCCACAACTAGCTTGCTAATCATGTAGTGAACGTAAGAGAATCCCATAGAACCATCTCTTGGGTTCCTAGCCTATAGGAAGTGAAAAGGAGGTCCAAGGTCAGAGTACCTATAGACAAATTATGTCATAACTTAACCAATCTTGTGGGTAACTAAGGAGCGATGACGTGTAATGAATCATAGAGGGTTGTAGAAGCTTCTAGAGCTATCGTTCATGTTCCTAGGCCTCTAGTTGGTAGAGATATGCCATGTGGTAGTATTGGCCCACCCCCTTAAGGAGGAGATTTTCTTAATAACTTGTTCAATGAGTGTCCAAATGATATGCCGTGATGTATGTAGCATAAACAGATGTAGTAGAAGAGTTTGCAGCAATCGTTGAGTAGTATTGCTTCTGTTGTTGGTGTGATAAGCCAAGATATGTATGGTGACTTGTAGGTTTGAGGAGGAGATTTCTAAGTTTGCTCTTGAGTTTGATAGCAAACTGAGTGCAACGAATGTCAGTATGACACTGTGGACTCATTGGTTCCGTAGGTGTGAGCTCGTCGAAGGTTTCCTGTTCCGAGACGGTGAACGATTCCGCCTCCGACCCTTCGTCTGAGCTCTCGTCTTCTGGGGTGTTTTCGCCGTTTTTTCCCCAGTCCTGTTTGCTCACAAACATTGCGTTCAACTGTCCTGTCCAGGTGGCGTTAAGTTGCTTGCCGACTTTGCGTCCGCCGTTCCCTTTCTTTGGCTGTCTGCAGTCTCGGGCCATGTGGCCTGGCTTGTCGCAGTTAAAACAGAGTCGTTCCTTAACTTGTCTCTCCTTCTTTGGGTCACGGGGTCGTCCAGGTTTGAACGTGGCATCGAGTTCCATTGGGTCCGACCAACAGTTGTCTCGCGGGTGTTGATCCCGTCGTCTGCCCTCGTTTCCCCGGTAGGGGTAACTTTTCTTGGGCTTGTCATAGGTCCGACGTTCCTTCTGGAATTCGTATAGTCGATTGTCGATTCGGACCGTATGTTCGATTAGCGCTACCATGTCCGTTGGTTGTTGTTCCAAACGGGCAAGTTCCATACGTATATGGCTCTTCAGCCCACGTCGGTAGTGGCTTATGAGTGCGCTGGCGTCCCATCCTGTCTGATTGCCGTATCTCTGGAATTCTGTGGAGTACGTGAGGGCGCTGCCAGTCTGCTTAAGTGCAAACAGATGGTCTTCCGCGGTCTTAATCTCATCGATGTCTCCGAACATGCGTCGGATTTCCTTACAGAATCCTTTCCAGCTGCCAAACATAGTCTGCATAGTTGCCATGCTTCCATTGGTACTTTCATATTTGAAATAATCCTTGAGGAATGGTTCGACCCATCGCAGGGCTTCCCCCCTAAGGTAGGATGCAGTCCACAGGGCATAGCTCTCCTGGGTGGGAAACTTCTCGTCATTGAAGTGCTGGTACAGTTCGACCTGTAGCAAAAACACCTCAAGTTCCTTTCGGTTGCCGGAGTAAGTGTCGGGCAACTTGACGCGTAGAGTTTCCTTGAGTTCGTTGACGGTGGGTGCATCGGGCATCTCTTCATTCTCAGGCTTAGACCTCTGAGACGAAGTTGGCGTGGTGGGGGTTTTCCCCTTCGAACTGACGACAGACATGTTGCTTTGTGTATGAGCCAGTGCCTCGTAGAAGTGGTGCTCAAAGTGTAACGCTGACTTCTAAATGATAGAAGACACAGAGGTTCTCTTGCGTAAAGGTTTACTTATCAGAGGAGGCAGGGGATCAGACACAAAGGCTTCAAGTAACACGTTACTAGTATATAACAAATACTGTATTGAGTTGAGCACGAAGCTCCTATCTAAGGAAATACTATCTACTTATATAGTGGCGTCGTGCCTCATGGGTAATCTGGATAGTTGGCGGATAGCTAGATATTCAGAATAGTTCGTAGATAGCTCAACTATCCAATATCCACTAGTTTCTGCAACTATCCATTAGCCCCGTCACATGGCAGCCTACCCCGCTTCCCACTGTGACTCACACGTCACGTTACTAGGCCCTGGTCCTGTAACCATGACGTCACGTTACCATAGCCGTAACAACCAACTGTACGATGCTTTGTATGCTTATGAAAATGTTCCGTTGAAATCCAAGTTCATTTGTCGTCCATCCATTTTCACTTACTGTGAGAATCCAATCTTGTGGTATATCTTCATCATACCATGTTGAGAGATGGTTCTTCCCACTCATAATAATGAACGGTGGGATTGACCATCCTTGCATGTTAATCCCTTGAATTACTGTTGCCCACTCTCTGTTTCCAGGTTGAATTGCTTTAGGTCGATTCTGCCGTTCAGAGTTTGTAACAACCATTGCTGTTGTAATAATGCCCATTTGAAAACCCGTCTCATCAAAGTTGTAGATGTCTGCATCGGTAATTCCATACTTTGCAGTAGTGTTTTGTACAAGTGTAAACCATGCTTTTATGAGCTCTGCATCTTCACATAGAGCTCTCTTATAGTCGTATTTGCGATTAAACTTTGTTTTAAGCTCAACATGGCGTTTAACAAAGTTGAAGCCCAATTAACTCCAACCTTGCCCACACCTCGAGATGCGAGTAATTGATTGGCCATATCTTCAACAGCACGAAGCCTAGGCGAAAACCCCCGTGAATCTAGGTCGAGGATATGTTGAATAACAACTGATTCTTCCAAGCAAGTGAGTTTTTGAGTTTTTGGTGTAATGTCGCGTCGTGGGCGTATTCCCTTTAGGCGCCTCTCAAGTAGCTTAGGACAGACATTTGAGGCCTTTGCAGCTGCCCTAATGCTATTAAATTGGCGTAATCTAATAGCTTCGATAGCAATATATATTCTACCTTCAAGATTAGTTGATGGAATATCAACTTGTTGAGGCATCTTGCAGTACACATAAGGAGCGCGTTGTGTTCGTCGCGTGCGACACACTTGTATGCGACACTCGCTTGTGGAAAGACGTTATAGATCAATGGAATTATCACCAACTTCATCTTCATACATCAGAACACAGTTTTACAGCTAACCTAATTCAATTTAACTAACTACTTATAGATAGTAACCCTAGCTGCTACACTGTAGGAGCTGCTATCCTAATTAGGCAATTATGATGCCAAGCCTACTAGGGTTTATATTTCCTACTATGGCTAGTTTTATGGGGCTGCTACAAAATAGAGCAGCGTTACAGCAAATCTAAATTGCTCTAATACTCACGAATGACGAACACTTCCAGCACCCCATTGTAAAGTATCGGAAGGGAAATCTGCCTCCACACTACAACAATCCGCTGCCATACACCGAGGACACACACGGACGCCACTGTAGACAACAACACAACACGCTGCAGACACCGACACATAGCATTTAGGTAGGGGAACAACCAGGACCACTCTCTTAATATCCTAACTAATGATCAATGGAATGAATGGACTATAACTTTGTTGTTCGGTTTCCCTTCGCACCTTCCGAATTTGTGAGTCCCAACTCTGCGGCCAGGATCGCTGCGGCCTTTTCCCCAACCATGAGTGCGGTGTTGTTGGTGTTGGCAGCGACATTCTCGGGAATGATCGAGAGATCACAGAGCTTAAGGCATTCCACGCCATAAACGTTTAGATCCTTGTCTACGACACCGCCATCTTGCAAGGGCCGCATCGCACAGGTACCCAGCGAGTGCCAGGTGGTGTTTAAGTTCTCGCGGATGTGCTCCACGATGACTTTGTCATCTTCGGCCGAGTACTGGATGTTGGGCATTTTACAACGATCCTCCATGCTACGGTGTTTAGGCTGCGAGTCACCCTCAAAAGACACCAAAGCTGCAGTACTTCCGGCCGAGAATTTGGGATGTCCAATCTGTAGTTCACCACGGTAGGTGCTGAGCCGTCGAAAAATCTCTCGCTGGCGCTTATATGCCCAAACCTGAGCCTTAAGGTCAAGGTCATCTTTGTCACTGAGAAATCCGGTTTCAAAGGACGGAGGATCGTAAACCGATTCACCACTAATATGGATGGAGCCGCGAGAGTATGGGTAGGCTGTATAGCAACCGACGGTGGCGTATTGTCCAGCAGGAACAGAACTTGGGTCCCCTAAAAAGGCAGAAACAACGCCCATGAGCATTAAAGGTCTCGATGGTACGTCTTTGAAGTCTCTATCCCATGCTGCTTGGAACTCAGGCCCAAGTGCTACAATTTCGTCATCTCGCGGTCGTATCTTCGAAGAGACATCGACGGAATTCCAGCCTAGAATAGGATTCTTCTCTTTAACCGCAGCTTCTAAATCGAGCCTGCCCGATAGGAGCGCGTCCATGGTCTCATCTGGCGCGAGACTGGTCTTATATGGCAAAAGGGTAAGCTGGTGATCCTGGTAGTTTGCTCCCACGCCAGGGAGATCAGCGACGATGGGAATCCCAAGACTCCTAAGATTATTCTTCTCTCCAACGCCAGATCGTTCAAGGATCTGAGGGGTGCCCAATGCACCGGCAGCGATGACAACTGTTTTCTTAGCCGTAATGCGTGTGCGGGAATGTTTGCCGAGGCCGGTGAGAGGTTGATGAACCATATTAGGCTCAACCTCAAGACCTACTGCACGTTTGCCATCGAAGATGACGCGGCTGACCAGGGTTTCCGTGAGGACGTGAAGGTTTGGGTAGTCTCCATGTTCTAGCAAGTCATGGATGTACCCGTGTGCAGAATCTTGCCGTTCTGAAGCGTGTTAGCCCTTAATCCACAAGCGAAGCTTTCCATAATGGGTGATATACTTCCGTCTGGGCTAACATAACGCTGCCAGCTGGAGAACCCATTATTTTGTTGGAGATCCTGAAGGTCGACTATCTCTGGCCAACCTTGTGTCGAGGCAACTTCGATAAACTCTCTCTCTGCACGAGTTGCTCGATGAGTTCCGCTTGATACATGGATGGGACCATCGTAGCCATGAAGATTTCGATCAATGATAGGATCATCCGAATGAAATGTCTCGAGCTATCATATATTAGGTCGGATTTCTAAACTATTCTCTGATGGGTGCCCACCTTCTTCAATAATGGCAGCAGGTCCTGTTGCGTCCAGCCCTCGGTTTTGAAGCTATCAAAATCAACGCCCTGGGCCCTCGTGTACCTATACCAGTGAGAGAAGTTAAGATTCATAAGACGAGGAGGATTACATCATAAAGTTTATAGATGATCCACCGCCAAGTATGCCTCCGGAGGGTACAATGGGCTCCCTGCCAGCTAAGGCATCGCTTTTGTTTCCTTTGTAAAAGATCGCGGTCTTGCTGTCTGGTGCGATATGATTAAGGAAGAGTGCCGGACAATTCACGGTAGGGTCATTGTGATTGTTTTTGCCACCCTCAACTAGTAAAATAGACAGCGAGGGGTCGAGTTTAGCAAGACGCCCAGCAACGACACAAGCAGCAGTCCCCCCTGGATATAGGCCGGGACGATGAGAATCAATTTAAATCGATGATAAAATATGATGGATATTGACCGACGTACCTCCAGCAATGAGGATATCTACCTCTGTTATGTGGTCCGCAACATTGTTAGAGATAGTCATAGTATATAATATGGTTTTGTTACCACACTTGTGAGAATAGAGTAAATAGGGGATGTAAAAGTGTGTATGGTAGTACTGTCACACATTTATTCTGTGGGGGGGCGCCGGACACATACTTTTTATCACTGCCATCCATTTCGTCGACCATCGAGTGCGACCCTATCTCCCGCATCCAGATTGCACTTTTCATGTGGGCAAAAGATCACAAGGTTGATCTACGACAAGATTGCTGTTGGAGGGAGGAAGCTCCGGTGGGGGAGGCCTTATGGAGCCAGCGAATAGACCGAAGGTTTCTCCGGCGCATAGTCCGACTCGCGGATTGGCTCGGAAGCTCCGGTGGTGTAGGCCTTATGCAAGCACCGAATTCCATCACAGCTGAAGCTGAAGAGCCCTCAATTTGTCAGGGTTTCGGGGCTTTTGCCGAGGTCTATCTACGACAAGATTGCTGTTGGAGCCACCGAATAGACCGAAGGTTTCTCCGGCGCATAGTCCGACTCGCGGATTGGCTCGGAAGCACCACCGGAGCTTCCGAGCCAATCCGTACCGAGTAGGCTCGTAGGATAGTGTAAAAAATCCAATCAATCTATATATTGTGCATTTTGTATTTACTGCGAGGCTTCTGTTCCGGTGCGCCAAGAGACTGATTACGGTGATGAAGGATTTACATACTCTCAGCGGCGGTGTTTAAGTGGGGCTGGATGCTATTTGTGCGAGTCGCGCATGATAGTCGCTGGAACTCCCCCTCGTCAGTCCGTCAACCAGCAATTCATTTAGTGACCAGTGCGATATTCAATACACGGAATGTACGATGTCGCACTCATGCCCTCAGGCGAACTGGCGTTAAATAATGAGAGGGGTTTGTCGGGGCGTGAGTTATGTGGGAGCATAGTCGCTCAAGTCGATTGTCTCTAATGCGACAAGAGTGTGGCAGTAAATTAGTTCTACATAAACTAGGTGGTCGTGCTACCCAGTAAAATAATAGAGCTCCTCAAACAGTTCATTAATCGAGGTTTAATTTTCGTATCTCTCCCTACCAGTATTCTGTTCATCATCATCATGGCTACCTCACGCAATCAGAACAGAACGCCCCTCCTAATTATTGGTGCTGGAGTTTCAGGTACGCGAGAAACTACGATATGTACAAGAGATGGCTGTTATACAGATGGGCTAATAACGCACTCCTAGGCATTTGTACCGCCATCGACATGATAAGGAGGAACAAGAGTCGAGATTTTATCATCGTCGAGAAAGGCAGCCAAATTGGGGGGACTTGGAACGATAACAGATACCCGGGATGCTGCTGTGACAGTAAGCATACGCTCCCATATTAAGGATTGTAGCTTTTCTAACTTACTCTAGTATGGAGTCATCTATACTCTTATTCATTTGATCCAAATCCTGCATGGACCCGAGAATACCCAACACAGGAGGAGATCCTGGCATATCTGATCCGGGTGGCTAATTCATGGGGCCTCTATAAGCATATTCGTTTCAATACGGTTGTGGAAGAAGCGACCTGGAATGAATCTTTCAAGCAATGGTCGACCATTGTTCGCACTACAAGTGAGAAGGAGGCCGAATATTCCCCGTCCTACACCATCACAAGTGACTTTCTTGTGTCGGCAGTGGGTCAACTTAATGTGCCTGCTTATCCAAGCATCAATGGCCTTGATCTTTTCCAAGGAAAAACCATGCATTCGGCGCGGTGGGACCGGTCGTTTGATTTAAAGGACAAGAGAATTGCGGTCATCGGCAACGGTGCCACAGCGGCACAAATCATACCAGAAATTGCTGAGACCGCCAAGAATGTCACAGTTTACCAAAGAACCCCAAACTGGGTGATTCCTCGAGGAGATAAGCCGATCAGCAAGACGATGCGATGGACGTACCAATATATCCCAACAATTCGAAAACGTTATCGTGCTGGTCTCATGGATTCTCGTGAGAGCTTCTACGATGCAGCTGCCAATGAATACTCGGCCATGAATTCCATCTTCAAAAAGCTGTCACTTGACATGTTGGACCGACAGATACCAGGGAATGCTACATTGAGGAAACAATTAACACCCGACTATCCGCCTGGTTGCAAGAGGGTTATCATCTCAGATGATTACTTCCCAGCTATAAGCAGGGCTAATGTTAGACTTGAGACGAGGTCCATTGACGAAGTATGCCCTACAGGTGTTAAGGCTGGTGGCGAGACCGAGGACTTCGACTTGATAGTCCTCGCGACAGGTTTCCGAACAGTCGATTTCATGTATCCCATCAAAATCACCGGTCTCAATGGACGATCTATTGAAGATATTTGGAAGGATGGAGCAATGGCTTACCTGGGGATCGCGGTGGAAGGGCTTCCCAACTTTGGGATGCTTTACGGCCCCAACACGAATCTAGGCCACAATTCCATCATCCTTATGATAGAAGCGCAATCTCGCTATATCAACACTTTAATTTCAGCAACCATGAAGGCACGCGCCAGTGGTGGCACTCTTTCGATCGCCCCTGCCCCACAACGTATCAAAAGCTATAACGTCGAAATCCAAAAGCGACTGCAGAACAGCACCTTTGCTAACTCAAGCTGTAAGAGCTGGTATAAGACGGCTGATGGACTGGTCACGAACAATTGGTGCGGAACTGTTGTTGAATATCAGGAACGGACATCGGTGGTTGATTGGGATGACTTTGTTTTGTCTGGGAGTGGCAAAAAGCAACTTCAGTCCCAGGGCCCAGCGTACATTGGCCGGATAATCGAAGAGACCCATCAGACCTCGAGCCTCACGTCGATGGGGTGGGTGCTCGCTGCCGGTGCAATCGTTGTGGGTGTGATATATACCAAGATAGGGCGTTTAAGTTTCTTGTAAAATTTCAAATTGCGAATACAAATACTTTTGTCACATTGAACACTTTGAGGTGCAAAAGAACCTGTGAATGTACGACGCTTGAACGACCCTGGCTTGCGCAAATATATTGACGGAATCATATATAGAACACGTCTATTGATCTTGCCACAGTAAGCTAACTGAAGAAGCATTGGTGTTGTTTTTGTTTTCCTTCCGAAGAAGTAGGAGAGATATGATGCCACCGGGAGCTTCATGGTGGAGTCGAACCACTATTCCATCGCTCTCCTATTTTTGTGTTTCGGGTCATAAGTGGCCCCCTGTAGTATGGGTAGGGAGCGTCTGTATGATTCCATTATAATTCAATCATAAGTAGACTGTAGGATTATTGTATTTCGAGCGGTAGGTCCCATTGTCCATCAGAGGGGCTCTGGGTTGGAGCGTATAGGTCTATTGCTAGCGTAGGGGGAGGGGGGGTGGGTGCTATAGGATTGACGGGTGGAAGTGAGAGGAGGCATTGAGGTCCTTTTAAGGATTCGGATTGCCCGGGGGTTCTCCTTCCTGTCTTTTCAAAAGCGGTTTCGTTGTATAAAGCATTGCGGTATATTTCCTTGGTGCTTAATACTCGTTCTGATAAAATGCGTTGGAGGATCATGGCTCGGAAGGAAAGGCGTGCTCTGTCAACCGTCCATAAGTAGATCGGCTTCTCGAAGGAGTGAGAGAGGTACGCCTTCCAGAGACACCATATGGCGGTTCTGCCAATGGATTGCCACTGGCGGCGGGCGATTCTATCATGGGAAGGACCGAATGCCATGAGCGCTTTGAGCTCGTTCATAGAGTGCGGTATAAGAGCTGGTTGTTCTGATACTTGGTGCCATATTGTAGAAACGTCTTGCCAGACTGCTTCTGCGACGGAGCATGACAACCAGATGTGGTCAGCAGTGAAGTCGCAGTTGTGTATGGGGCAGAGCTGAAGGTTTACTGGGAGCCAGTCGAGGGATTTCCCAGTCTGGATTTTATTGTGTAGAAGGCGCCATAGGAGGTCGCCTGCCTTATTATAGCTATGGTCGTTGCGGACCGACTTCCATAGTGTGGTAGAGGAGTAGGAGATGCCGGTTGTGTGTTTTAGTAAGCTAACTGATGCGTACCCGTCAAAACAAGGTATTTGCCGTATATAGCGAACCAGAGTACGAGTACCGAAAAACCCCATCGCACCGACTTCAAAAGGTTCAATGAAACAACGAGTAACTCGTGATGATTCCGTGCCTTCATCTTAGCTACCGCACCTTTTTACCTCTATTTGCTCTGTTTAAGCTGGCTGTATATTTCACAATAAGCGGATTATGGACTTTGGATTTTTACGATACCTCAGTAGTATATATTAGCGGGATGTTTCTTGCATCTCATTCCACTCCAACCTCCACTTCCTATCCCGCTCTTCCGTCACCACTCTACAGCATTTATTCTATAGAGTTATCCTCAAGACGGATGCAATCCTTTGCTAAAAGCAGGCACCAAATCCACCTCACCTTTCCCATCAACGCCTAGCGCATGCTCGCTCCCGCCTACGCATTATAAATTCCGTCAAAGCGAAGCACTATACTCGACATGCCCGAAGCACAACAAGTCCCTCAAGCATTCCCCCTCGAGGGTTGGTCGCTGGAGTCTACTTCAAGAGAAGATATCATCCGAGCCTTGGAAGATGCGCCAAAAATCTATAGTAAATCCTATACACAAATCGCTCGCATTTCCAGCTCCGTCGTGGTAAAGTATGGCTCTGAGGTTCATCTTTGGGAGGCGAGGACGATGGCATTTGTTGCGAAAATACCACATGTGCGATTGCCAAAGGCCTTTGATGCTTGGGAAACGAATGCAGCCCCGTTACAGGAGGAGTCAACCACGACTTATATTGTGATGGAATATGTCCAGGGTGATCTGGTCTCGGACGTGTGGCCCGGACTCAGTTCAGAGCGCCGCCTCAGCATACATCAGCAGATCTACGAGATGATCCGAGAACTTCAGCGCACAAAATTGGCCGTTCCCGGCCCTATTGGCGGTGGAGTCTCAAACGGCACGTACTTCACCGATTATGGCGCCGGCCCGTTTCTCTCGCGGGAAGAATTGGAGTGGTTCAATGAGCGCCTTCTCGTAAACCTTCTGGAAAATTGGTAAGGTCACGTCTCGTATTGCCCAGTAGAATGCTGATTTCCTCTAGCCTTCATAGATCAACCCGGCTCCTGCACTTATGGAGATGTATATTAAAAGCAAGGTTTATATATCTCATGGAAAGGGAACTATGATTACGAGCAGAGCCAGTTCTGATACAGCACATTGTTATTCTCCATCCATTATTGTTCTCACTATACAACAGAGCCGACCTTGGACAATGGCAATGTCAACTTGCAGATGGCACCTAAAGAGTAGATCCTGTAGTTAGTTTGAGTGAAGAATATTATCAACAGGATAATCGTGACGATTCAACTGATAGCAACGCAACGTAACTGAACAGATAGACATACTAAACGTTCCAAGAAACCAACTTGGCTCTGTTAGCACTTGGAGTATACTCGGTGTTCCACCCACTCGCTTCGCTCGTAGGTGGCGACAGCAAGTTGTGCGTGCGAGCAAGATGTGCGTACACCGCTATTTTGATATATAGAGAAAATAATAGTATTCTTCACAACGTAGTATCTACAATGCCTCAAAATAACGATCCTCTATGATTGCTCGCCTTAATGAGGCCCAACAGTTCTTCTTAAAACAACCAAGTACATATACAATTGCTTGGGTTGCAAATAAATTCAATGTCAACCGCGAGACACTCCGATGTCGTATTACGAGTACTACGTCTCCTCAATTACCCCACGGAGGTAGCAATCGAGTCTTATCTCAATCTCAAGAGACTGCGGTCTGTCAATTCATATACGACCAACTTGAGCGCGGGGTCCCTGCCAACCGATCTATGATACTACGGGCAAACCATACAATACCATCACAACGGTGGCTACAACGCTTTCTAAAAGCACACCCCGAATTTCATACAATTCACACGAAGACGTTAAATACACATCGGAAGCAAGCACAAAAGAAAGAGGTGTTTGAGGAATTCTTTCTCACATATAACGCCCTTATTACAAAACATAACATTAAGCCATATAATTTATGGAATGTTGAGAGAGGCTATATGATTGGGTGTTATAAGTCTACAGCTGTTATTGTACCAATCGGTGTAAAGCAGTGGACTGTTGATAATCCTGAGAATCGGCTCTCTGTTACTGTAATTGAGGCAGTAAATGCAAGTGGTGCTGCACTTGCAGAAGCTATCATTATCCCTGGCAAACTTCATATGGATTCATGTTACAATGATGACCTTGAGCCAAATGCTCCCATTTTAAACAACGACATTGCAATCCAATACCTTATGCATTTTATCCAACTATCTGCAGAGCATATGGCACCAGATGATACTCGCCTCTTATTACTTGATGGCCATGACTCTCATAAAACAGACACTTTCTTACATTAGCAGAAGAGCATAACACTGTTATTTGCTGCCTTCCTGCTCATACAACACATCTATTACAACCTCTTGATGTAGCAGTTTTTAAGCAGTGCAAACACTTTCATCAAAAGGCACTTGATCAAGCAGTACGTAGCTACGACTATGAGTATAAGCTACGTACGTTCCTTTCAGACCTCCCGCAAATCTGACGGCAATCTCTAACTGTCCGTACAATTGAATCTGGTTGGAGAAATGCAGGACTATATCCATATAATCCTCCACTTGTAATTGACAAGATACAAGAGACTCGGAATCAAACACCTGATTATGAGCCATTTGCTTCATATAATATTATCTCAACACCGAAAACAACTATGCAAAGTGTGCAAACAGTTAAACATTGGCAGAAGAGAGCAGAGGAAGCTTTCTCATCACCTTCAAGAGAAGGGTTTCAAGCATTTGCACGTGGAACTACAGTTGTTCTACACCGGGCAGAGCTCTATAAGACTGAGCTAGATATTATGACTTTACATGCAGTAGAGCAAAAGGCAGCAAAGGCAAGGGCACAGAAATCACTACAGAAAGGAGGGCAGTTATATGCATCAGATGCACGGAAAATGCGGGAAGAGAAGGAAGCAAAGTTGCAAGCAAAAGCAGACGCAAGAGCAGCAAGGGAATTGGACCAAGTAGTAAAGCAGCTACAAGCGCAAGCACGTAAAATTAAAATTGAAGAGCATAAGGTTGAGAGGAAGCGGGTAGCAGAGCGGTAGTAGCGATAGTGGCTGTAGCGATAGTGATAGTAGTTCTATTGATTTTATGTTTTAATTATATAGTTATATAGTTGCTATATAAGGCGTCTTTTTCTTCGTTTTATGTGTCGCACATCTTGCTGTCGCACACACAACTTGCTGTTGCCACCTACGAGCGAAGCGAGTGGGTGGAACACTGTTGGGAATAGAACGTGGGCTATGGGCTACGGTGGCCATTTGGCCCTGGAAATCAGTTTTCCAGCATTCTGACCGCCTGGTTCCCGGATTGGCTCACAGGTTCGGTGGTGGTGCATAACCGTATGCAGCCAGAATCCTATCACAAATTGGGCGCCAACGCCCTTCTTGTTAGGGTCTTGGGCTTGCCCACGAAGCCTACAAATATATACGTAGGCCCATTAGATAGCGTAATTAATTCAATTTGATTGATTTACTATACATACTGCCCTTGATTGTGATACTCGCTGGCGCTGCCCCGAAGTGAGCATTTCGGGTACCAGAGAACCCTTATAATTTGGGTGTGATCCCCGGTCACCGTAATACACTCCAACAAACACCGAGTACTGTGATGGCAAATCACATAGTAGGGTACATCCAAAAGGATTGGTTTCTTTGCTGCGCGGCACCAATGTTGGTAGCCCTAATAGGGCGATATTAGATGCTTTTTGTTCGATGCGGACAATCCTGTAACGCTGACTTCTAAATGATAGAAGACACAGAGGTTCTCTTGCGTAAATGTTTACTTATCAGAGGAGGCAGGGGATCAGACACAAAGGCTTCAAGTAACACGTTACTAGTATATAACAAATACTGTATTGAGTTGAGCACGAAGCTCCTATCTAAGGAAATACTATCTACTTATATAGTGGCGTCGTGCCTCATGGGTAATCTGGATAGTTGGCGGATAGCTAGATATTCAGAATAGTTCGTGGATAGCTCAACTATCCAATATCCACTAGTTTCTGCAACTATCCATTAGCCCCGTCACATGGCAGCCTACCCCGCTTCCCACTGTGACTCACACGTCACGTTACTAGGCCCTGGCCCTGTAACATGACATCATGTTACTATAGCCGTAACAAATCCATCCCAATGCCAAGCTAACTGAACGCTACTGAGTCATCGATCGAGAGCAAATAGTCAACCGCCAATTGATTGTTCTGCATTTAAGATTGGAGAGCTCCTTCTATTGGCTTATATAACCAAAGTTTCTCCTACAAACTCCAGGATTGCCCCGTCCCTGATTGGAAAGAGGACATTTCAGAGCTCGCGAGCCAGCTTTTTGAGGTTCTTGAATCTTGGGGCGAATTCCACGATGATGCCCTCAAAACCGTTTTTATCCATATGGCCAAGTTTCGTATCGGTAATCTCTGCATACGTCCCTGTATACCATCGCCGCAGTCTACTTGTTGCCAAAGGCGTTGTCCTCTTCCTTGCCTGCCTGTCATCCATTTCAACATGACCATAACTGTCATACTGACATTCGTTGCACTCAGTTTGCTATCAAACTCAAGAGCAAACTTGGAAATCTCCTCCTCAAACCTACAAGTCACTATACATATTTTGGCTTATCACACCAACAACAAGAGCAATACTACTCAACGATTGCTACAACCATCTATGATTCATTACACGTCATCGCTCCTTAGTTACTGGGCCGATATTACCACATAGCATATCTCTACAACCCTCTATGATTCATTACATGACATCACTCATACTACCACATGACATATCTCTACCAACTAGAGGCCTAGGAGCATGAACGATAGCTCTAAAAGCTCCTACGAACCTCTATGATTCATTACATGTCATCGCTCTTTAGTTACCCACAAGATTGGTTAAGTTATGACATAATTTGTCTGTGACATAATTTGTCTATGACATAATTTGTCTATAGGGGTACTCTGACCTTGGACCTCCTTTTACTTCCTATAGGCTACGAACCTAAGAGATGGTTCTATGGGATTCTCTTACGTCGACTACAGTTACCAAGCCTGGTAAGTCATGGAAAGTCTTGGAAAATGAGAGAACTACATTCCTTTAGCATAAATAGGATTGCCCTTTCCTTAAAAAAGGGCAAGCAGACAATACAGTAAATCGACTATCACATACTTTCACGTCTTTTCCAAGCTTCCAAGCATTGATCTTGTTACTCCTTGTTTCTGAAAAGTCAGTGAGGTGTTAACCTCTGACTTACCCCTGAGTTCCCAGACTCAACATTTGTTGCAACTTGTCTGAACCACTTCACTACATCACACACCTGATTGCTGCGTTGTGGGATAGTCTAAGCTACGACCCTTTGGCTCTGTTTTCTAAGACAGTGTGTTGTCTTAGTAAATTCATCCCTTCCTTGGGTGGCTAGATTCTCACATCTGGTGCACCCACCATTACATATCTGAAGACCTCATCTTGACACACCAGTTACCTATAATTCCCAAATGCACTCCAGAGTTGCTCCGAGTCATTGATGGAACTCCTATCAGTTCAGGTTCCATTACCTGCAACACCCCAGTACTCAAACTTGAGATTCCCCTAGGAAAATCAACATTTTCAGACACCATCTCTTTAGATGTTATACCGATGAAGTACCCAGTCATCCTAGGTCTTCCATGGCTTCAAAGACATGATCCAACTATCAATTGGAAGCATTTATCACTTGGGTTTAGCTCAAATCCTGAGCTCAATACTGAAAAAACCCTTCAAGCCTCAGTTACCCCTATTCAGGTCCAAGACTCAAACTTGTCCCAGATCAAGGATTTTGACCAAACTATGGACGATATATCATCTCTGATATGGGTTAAACCTTTCCAACCTGTCCTGGAGATAGCAGCTACTTCAGATTTGGAGAAATCATCTCAGGAGGTCATTTTGCCTTTAGCATACCAAGACTACCAACATCTTTTTGACAAGGCAAAGGCATCAATTCTGCCAAAGCACCAGCCTTATGACCATGAGATACCACTCGCAGAAGGCTCAATGCCTCCCTACGGCCCTATCTACTCTCTATCTGAATTAGAGCTGAAAACTCTCAGAGAATACCTAGATGAGAACCTTAGTTTCGCATTCGACAGTCGATTCCAGGCCCTTGATCAAGGCATTATTGCCTCCCTTAAAGCTCATTATCGTCGACAATGGCTTGCGTTCATGCTAAACGCCTTCGACAACAATGAAGATCCTCTTAAAACTATTAACTTACACCTTGCCCTTCGCTGGATCATCCGATCGTGGTATCACGATGTCTCAAATACGACTATCTACAACTGCTTCCGCAAAAGCACAATCATCAAAAACCTGATCCAACTTCCTCTTGAGCACATTCCGCCTCTTACTGACCTTTACAACGAAGTACAACAGCACGACCGAATTCACGATGCGATGGACCTTTCAAACTTTCTAAACCTAGCGGAGGAGATAATACAAGAGGGTATACAAGATAGCGAGGGGGATATATGTCATTGAACAATATATCCAGTCTCCTAATGAAGGTTAAGATGATGACGATGGGGAGGAGCTTAGACTGCCGGTGGTTCATTCTACGCAGGCAGTTCTACAAGCCCTCCAAGTTCTGAGTGACTTTACGGAAACTGGGAATAGTGGCATAAGGGAGCCGGCAGTTACGCTCCGTTCTTTAGAGCGTATAGAAAGGGAATTAGTAGTCAAAAGGGCAAATGAGGGCATTCAGGGCACATTGGACATTTGGCTTATGTAATGGTTTGATTACTCGATATTCAGTATATCTCGATATATCTAGAGGAATTATTATATCGACTTATCGCGTGAGAACTGTAGAAAAGTAATTAAGGATTCTTATTTCGAAATTCAACCATACCTAAAAAATGAAAGGGGGTCATCCCCATCACGTGTCTACCCCACACCTGGAACACCATTCCCCAGCGGCCTCGCCCCCCTGCCATAAAGCTTGCTTCCATACTCGCTGACCAGCTCCAAGATCCAATCCAGCAGCTCACAACCCGCACACACGCACGCGCGCAAGTTGCAACCACAACGAACTCGACGTAACAACGATGTCGACCACGCGCCTCACATTCCTATACCCGCACCTCTTCCGCGCCGTGCGCCGCGTCGAGTGTCCTGGGCCCGGGGCTGCTGTGCGCCAATGCGCGCACTCGGGGAGGCAGAGGAGAGCGGGGTTTGCGGGGACGGCAGGGGGGAGGGTGAAGTTCGCGGAGAGGAGGGGGAAAGGTGTTGAACCAATTGCTGAAGGGGAGAAGGAGGGAAAGGAGGAGAAGATGGAGGAGAGCAATGTGGGTGAGGGACGGGTATCGAGCCGGCCGGAGGGGGCTGTAGAGAATGATACTGCCGATGCGATTGCGGAGGGGGGTATCTTAGCTGCGGATGCAGCGAGGGAAAAGGACGATGCGGCGGCAGCACCGACGCCGGCAGTGGAGGAGAAGGCGGAGGTGGAGACCGACAAGGACAGGGACAATCCTGCACAAATCAGCGATGACGCACCAGCTCCGAGTGCCAATCGCGACACCCCTCTCACAGACTCAGTCCTGCACATGGATCCCCCACTCGAGAGCCTCATCGGCAGCCTCCCGCACCTCGCGCCCTCGCCGTACGTGCACCACTTCGACTCCTACACTTTGACGCAGCGTATCGCCGAAGGGGGTTTCACCTCCACACAGAGCGTGGAAACGATGAAGATCGTGCGGGCACTACTCACCGCCAACCTGGACATGGCCAAAGACGGGCTAGTGAGCAAGAGCGACGTGGAGAACGAGACGTACCTCTTCCAAGCGGCGTGTTCGGAGCTGCGAACCGAAATCCAGAATGCGCGCAAGGCGAGCGCGGAGGGGATGCGACTGAGGCGCACAATGCTGCAGAATGAGGCGGATATCTTGAATCAGAAGATGACGCAGGATTTGGCGACGCTGAAGGATGAGTTGAAGGAGATGTTCAATGATCGCAAGATGGAGGTGCGGATGGAACACTCGAATATGGAGAGCCAGGTATGTGTCCTCGTCCCCCTTTCCTCCTCCGAGCAGTGTATTTAGTAACCCATTGTAGATCCAGGAACTCAGCTACAAGATCACCGTCGCGCTCAACAGTGACACCAAGTCCGAGGTTGAGGGCGTGCGCTGGATCCTGACGCGCCGCGCCGTGCTAGCTATCGTCTTCATGGCGTTCGTCGTGCTTTCGAGTCTGAGGCTCGCGAGCTATCGCAGTCAGGAGTCCGCTCTCGCGTTACAGAAGGCCGAGAGGAAGGAAGAGCTGCAGAGACAAGCGGCGAAGAAGCAGAGGGAGGCGGGGACTCAGACAGAGGAGGCTATATTAGCGGCTGAGGGGGTGAGCACAAGCTAGGGTCGAGGAGGTGTATTGTGATGTATTGGATAGATACCCTAAGGTTGCCCGTGTAAGAGTATACACTGTACTGTATGTAGTTACATAGGATGTGTTGTGGGTTACTTATAGACATGTATGGAAATGAGACGATGTAATAAGACAAAATGGCATCTGATCTTGGCTCACATTCGGGCCTTCATGCACAATACTAGGTGCGAACCCTAGCACTCCATCTCTCGACGACATCGGAGAGGCACTTCAAAATGAAATCAGAGTTGTATCAAAGATATCTCAGGTTCGAACAGCACGTGGTATCATCGTTTCCATAATTTTAACTAAATACCGAGCTCGAAATCCATCCTTCTACACTTGTAGTGCCCCTCCCTCCCAGGCCGGATTTCCCCATAAGCCCGCCAAATGTCGTCAGACATCACTTTTTCTATCCTTTTATACGCCTGAAAAGTGCCGCCTACGGCCTTCTCCATTCCGCTAGCTCAGCTGAGACACGCCGTAAAGGCTGTGCGCAGCTCATCGTTCAGCCTCTCATTAACCCAGCCGGCCAGCGTTGCTGCATCAGCTCCGCTTCCCTGCTGTCCACCGGCACGATAGTACTGCGCGACCCAGGTCTTGATATCCGTCATCTCAGGCCAGGCGTCCTTCGGCTGGCGGCGACAGGTATTCAGCTGTGTAAAGCCGACGCCGAAGGTCAGATCGTCCACATCCTGCTCCACAACGACTGCGTCATCCGCCACTGGCATTGGCGCATTCACCATGAGGTTGATGAGTGTTCCTGCGGTAAGGGTCCAGCCTTTCACGTATTTCGAGGCAAACTTATCCGAGTCGGTGAGCGTCTTGGTGAGAGAGATGGCAGCGGTCTTGCGGTCAATCGGCTTGGCAAGTTGCTGCGTGAAGGGGAGGATGATGGTAAGGTAGAGGGGGACGTAAGCATCGCCTTGGATGCTGTCGGAAGCGGCGATGAAATAATCTGCGCCGAACCCATGCTTGGGGTCGTTGAGAGCAGAGACGTGGTGATAGAATCGCACGAACCGAAGCTTGAATGCATCAGTCACATTCGGCGCTGATAGGCGCGAGTAGACGAGTTGAAGAATGGCGGGGAAGTATGTGACCAGGGTTTGGCTGCAAGGTTATATGTTAGCAGAATGTCAAACCTCAGATTTAGAAGCAAAGTAACCTACCCGTTGAACGTTGAAACGACGCTCTCCAAAATGTCGAATGCATATGACTCGAGCTTGGCTTTCTTAGTTATAAGATTCTGAAATACTCCAAGAACCGCCTCGATTTGGTTGTTGGCCACAATATCCTGGGCGCCACGAGGGATAATGGAGCACAAAAGGCGGGATAGAGCTGGCACATTTCCCTTGGATATCCACAGATCCGGCATAAGAATTGGAGTAATCAGAGCTTTGTAGTATTCAGAAAGAGCCTCCGAAGGTCTCGATTCCAAAAGTGCGGCGAACAATTGGAATACGTATGGCTTGAATTCCTCGACGTCATTCGTTAGGATTCCGGCAAATGGCGCGTACAGTGCTTCTTCGAACCTTTCTGGCTGAGAAGGAGCACCATATCTGATTAGAGCGCCCAGCGCTTCAAAGTGGTAGTAGTAGAATCGCGGGTTGCTGGGGTTTCGGCTGATGATCTCGGTAATATTGATGAGATGTTGAAGAACGGTGTCTGTGATTGGGATAACACCTTCTCTAATGACGATTAACACTCTCATAACACAGCGCATCAGGAATTCATTCTCCTGGATCTTTTCTGGTGCCGCATCCTTCTCGATCAGATGGAACAAGTGCTCCACAAGGTCTTTCGCATATGGCTGAACTTGATCTTTGCCAAATACGTGCTTTCCAGAGTCATCCACCAAGCTTAACACCCGCTCCACAGCAATCGAAGCATAAGTGTAAACGACATAATTGGGAGAAGCCAGGTTCTGGACAAGAGGCGGGAATGCAGCCTGCCACTGTTCATGCGTCAACTGGCTTCTGAAGGTGTAAAGGTAATTGATGGCATCCACTTTCAGGATTGGCTCGACGCCCTCAGAATTCAAGAGATCGCTTGCGATGTTATTCTGGAAGAACTCCACCACATCCAACAGCTGATTCGTTGTCTTAACTCCATGGCTAGAAGTTGATGCTCCTCTTGCTGCAATTGCAGAGAATAAATAAATGGCGGCGTCTTTGGAGCGCCACTCATTTTTGGGGTCTTGAGCATACTTCTCAAAGTAATGCTCGACGTATTTCCCGACAACCTTGGTAAGGAGAGGTTCAAAATGGCCCAGGAGAGTCCTCAGGAATTCTGTCGCTGCTCTCCTCCTAGTGTCAATATCTGAGCCCTCGAGATTTTTGCGAATATACTCAATCGGCTCATCTTCGAATTGCTCAATATCGGATTCTCTTAAGCTTACACTTGGAAGTATAGCTTTCTCAACAACTTGCTCAAGTACACCCTCGTTGTTGAAGTTCTCTGCGTGTTTCTTTATCCCACAAACTGCAGTTAAGAAGTGCAGCCCTTTGCTAATAACGAGGTCGTATTTCGTTTCTTGGCCGATGGTCGTGAGAAGGTTCCATACACTGGTAATGAATGGTTGAAGGAGCTCTCCAAAAGCATCTTCGTACTTCTGGACGTACAGCACCAAAACTTCGCAAATATCTGTTTTCACAAACTCTAGTGGCCCGGCTTCAGTATCGTCACCCGTGTGTAGGTGGGGGTTATCGTAAGTCAGGTATTTCTGGAGTAGCGTGGTAATAGACTGGAGGTTGTCCTCGAAAGCTGGTGGAAGATCCTGGCACGACAGATCGTAGAAAAGCTTCACCAAAAGGTTCATAGTTGCGAAATTCTCCTTTAATGAAGCTGCATTGTCTTTGTTGGCCTCGATCTGCCTATCGGTGCTCTGTCATGAGATTATCGCCTTAGATTATCACTCTTATAAATTTTATTCGGGGGTTGAATTCATACCACAAGTAATTGTAAGAACGGTTCCGCAAACTTCCCCAGCACATGATTGATCTCCGCAAAGAGGTCGTCTGAGCGGAAAAGCGGCCGCCAGCGCCGGAAGATCGAGTGTGCAACCTCCAAGACTCCGTTGTTGACCTTTGCGTTATCAGGTGTCAGGCGAGAAACAAGATCCTAGTCGGAGTTAGTTAGAATCAAACGACTTATGAGGGCGTGGGCAAATCTTACACCGACAAGCGTATCCCAACGTTGCCAGAAGTCTGAATCCGCAATCAAACTGATCGCTTCCCCAAGCTGTGCTTGTATGGATGACGGCACTCTTATCATAAGCCCAATAAGCTCACTTTTAATCGTAACTACTGTTGACTCGGGAAGCTTGTATCGACCTTCCTCGTCCTAAAATGAATTATTAGGACGGCCTTTGCAAATGGGGTAGTGAACTTACCACATAGTTGAACCGGATGTAGTTCTTGAAGCACAAAGCACTTGATAGTCTGGTGTTCAAAGGGAAAGACTCAGAAGCTACTATCTGCAAGAGCGATAACGAAAATGCCGGCTTCTCCTGCTGTATTTTCAACAGCTCCGCCTCAGCTTGTCATAGTCAGCATATAATAGCCAACAGTAGAGGTAGACATATGTACCTTGTTTATGCTGGCGCGGATCCAAAGTAGCTTGGAGAAGCTGCGCAACTGCCTGAAGTTCAGCATCCATGTTAAGTATATTCAGGAATATACGTTGTTGAATGGGGGGAATAGTTCAACAAGCACAGTTGTTATATTTGTATGCTTCCGCTTCTCTCGAAGCTAAACACAAACAGCGGCAACGAGAGTGCGGGCAGCAACGCCGGGTAAACTAATTTTCCGATCAGATGACTAAGCCACATATTGTTGAGATCTCGGGACATTTTGGTCGATGATCATGCATCGTCAGTCAGGGTTACTAAGAAAATAGCTTTCGAATTGGAACCTGGTCTGATCGGAGTGAGAGAATGCGGTTTCGTATTGGCATAATTTTACGATCGTCGACAAGGAATAACCCCTTTGACCGTGCTATTTTTATAGCTTCTTCTTTGAGATGGTCGTGTTTCCTTTACCTTATCTATAGAGTACATAACTTAACTAGCAGATAAGCTCTTTTGCCGACCCTTGTGAAATGAGGCCAGGACTGGCCTCTTATCCCCGCTTCGCATCCTTATCTTTTTCAACATCAATGTCGTGCTTATAAAAGCTTCATACCTACCAATTCTGACGCGCACTCATGTGTCTCGACCATTCTGTGGTAAGTCCCAACAGTCCGTTCTTTCTTTCGCGTTATTTGCTTGAGCCTTGCCTAGCGAGTGTATGTACGCAGCACTAGTCCCCCAAGTCAAGCTACATTGCCAGCGACAGCAGTTGCTTCGACGAAGGCGGATGCGCTCAAGGTAGAGAGCTCGTGGCTGACCTTCACTCATTACAGATATCACCGTCTCGCCGGAAGTTCGATAGCAGGATCTTATGCCTCCACCCTCCGGGCACGTAGCGCAGACTCCAGAACCGAAGAGTACGGGTCTTGCAGGAGTCTTCAAAACCTTGACTGGGCAGAAGACGAACAGAGACCTTCCATCATCGCCCTACCCTCCCTCTTCGATACCGGTTGCGACTGTCCAGCTTGCGCAACAATTGAATGGGCCGGATACATCGAGAGGGGCCATCTATGGCGGCCCGTCGGAGTATGAGGACCTGTATGAGAAGCTAAAGCCAGACAACTCTTTTGCGGATAGGCTTGCGGCGGCAGATTCTCTCCGACTTGCCGTCTCGGACTATCCTCTGAGTGGTGTTACCAGCATATGGTATGCAGCGAAGGACCTCATATCTCCCGAAAACCCAGCCGACGTTCGCCGCACTGGGTTTGAACTCTTAACAGCATGTGTCAAGCATACTTCTGCGACAGATTTGGAGAGAAAGGAGTATTTCAACACATTAACGGCACCGCTACACCCAGATGATTACCATCTGCAGCTTGCTGCTGTGACTGAGCTGGCAAATAATGGGAAAGACCTCTCGGGGTTTCATTACGATGCGATCCCACTCCTTACTCGGTGGCTACGAATGGCCTTCGAAGCATTCGAACGTGCGCGCAAATTGCCAAGGCAATCTTCCAACAAATCCACTCAAACCAAGGTGCCTTTGGGCGAAGAAACGAATATCCATCAGCTTTTCAATTTGATTGTCAATGTCATCAAATTCAGTTTCAATGTCTCAGATGATGACGAAACTGGAGCTCTCATCGACGAGATAATCTACATTGCGGTTCATGCGACATTTCCCAACGAAATTCGCGCTTGTGTACGAATGCTGGATGCAATTGTAACATACGGCGCAATCCCAAGCGATAAACTGAAGGATTTTGTGTCGGTGCTCTGCTCTGTACACTTTATGGTTCGAGATATCAGGCGAGACGCATGGCATACGATTGGGAATCTGTGCAGGTCTCACAATGGCCATACCACAATTTGGATCCTGCTCGACGTCCTTCGCCGTTCGGACACAAACCAAAAAAAATCGCAGGCGGTTGTCCGAGAGGTTCGCGGGTCACTCTCCGTCCTAGAGAGAATCATAAGCAAATGCGGAGAAGGAGGTTATCCGCCTGTGCCGTTTGGCCTTCTCATGGATGCGCTCTCCATGTCGTTGGTTGTTGACCAACCCAAGGTGGATCAAGACATAATGCATCTTATTTTATCTCTATTTGGCGAGGACGAGGCTTCACTAAATTCGAGTATATTGGAGGAAGACTGGACCAAACTGTTCGACATAGTGTCTAGATGCGCTGTTCGTGCATTGGAAACATCGGACGGCAAGGTTATAAGCCAGGCCACGCAGCAATTCAACTCGTCTTCGTCTGCGTCGTCGACCACCGATAGCTCCACTCATATCACGACTGGCATAGCTCAAACATTCTATGAGCTAATAACTAGGGTCGAGCACCTTCTGCTATCGATGGAGCCTGATGACTTCATGCAACGGGAGAGTTGCATCTTGTTCTTCTCGAGCGTATCAGTCCACATACCAGATTCATGTGCTAAGTTGGTAATTCGGTATTACATCGACTTTCGATTCTGCTATCCTTCGGATAGCAACTGGGAGCTCAATATCAAAACATTACTAGACGCTTTCTTCCTGAACAGAAATCGCCAGACCGAGACACGACTACAAGCTCTGCAGGCAGTCACCGATGTCTATGACCTGGTCGAAATGATGGAGGAATATAATGACACGGACAGGAAGCAAAATTTGGTCGCCGGCATTCTCAGTGGCTTAGCAGACGAGAATGATCTCACCGTCGTTCATGATATTGTGGCTTTTGCTGTCACAGTTTGCGATACCGCAGAACAAGATGAATTTGAGTTCATCATCAAGCAATTACACCAGTGTGTCAGCAACGATCGATTAAATTCTCCACTATTCCCACAAGCTTCCCGCCCGTCTATACAGTCTAGGCGGTCATCTGGTACGCTCGAGAACCATGCTCCACCGTCGGCCCCATCCGGTATTATCACAAGAGGCGTCATTCAAATATTCATGAGAACAATGGATAGTTCTACAACAAAATGCCTCCGAGCTTTCGATGAAATTCTTTGGGTCGTTCGATCTAGTTCCTGTGATACAGAAGCTCGCATTTCCGCCTTGAGAATGCTTGTCCGCCTCCGTGCTGATTGGGCAAACCGGATATTCCTTACACCATTCACAGAGTCGGAAGCTTTAGCAGCGCTACTCTATCGCACGCCGGCGTCATTAGCCAAGAAGCAAGCAGCTGATGAAGCCCAGCAAAGCCGGTCAACACGAACAGAGGATGCTCGCGGGATACGAAGTACTTCTGCGGGACAGTCGTACACAACTGCCTCCGCCGCAAGGAGTACCAGTGGTGTGAGCCGCACCCTTCGGCGCAACCATCAGATGTGGATGACCCCAGATCCTGGAGCCCTCCCGGAACAGCTGTCAGACAAGGCAAGCCCTATACTATTGTCCATTGACTATGATCATGCAAACAAAACAGATCCAGACGACAGTACCGCCCACAATGTGATGGAACGGAAAACCCTCAAAATAAATATATGGCTTGAAATTGTCATTGGACTTTTACAGCAAGGATGCGACTGGGAACTGTACAGCTATATCCTGGTTCACTTACCTTCACAGTTGGCCAACCATGCACTTTTCAAGGGAGCTGTTCCTCAGGTGAAACACCTTCGAGGCCTTCTCTGCGAACAAATCAAGAACGGTAGTTTTTACGAGCCTCCTGTATCTTCGGGGCTGCGAAAATCCGACACTGCCATCTGCGTGCTTCAAGCACTTACTATGGTTATGAGCTATCACCAACATTTTTCACGCAGCGAGGAGGACGAGCTTGTTAAGTCGCTCATCCATGGTGTCGGTGCCTGGGAACGAGCAGCAAAGTTCTGCATCCACGCTTTGTCAATCTGCTGCCACGAACTTCCCGCTTCTATGAAGCTTGTGTTAGGCAGCATTTTGGTCAGGATGTCTCAGATTATCACGCAGTCCCATGTTGCTGTCCATATCCTTGAATTCTTAGCTTGCCTTGCACGGTTACCCGACCTTTACTCGAATTTCAGGGACGAGGAATATCGCACCGTGTTCGGGATATGCTTTCGTTACCTTCAATATGTACGGGATCAAAATTCCAAGTCAATGTCGAATAGGAACAGCACAGTTTCAAGTCGTCCAGCGAGTTCTGCTTTGGATCCATCAACCGCATCGGGGGATGGTACCAAAGGGGACAGCAGCGCTGCCAACTCTTCTAATGACCTACCTCAATATGTGTTTACTTTGGCATATCACGTCATTACCTACTGGTTTTTGTCTCTACGTGTCTCAGACCGTGGAAGCCATGTTAGTTGGATAATAAAAAATCTTGTATGGACAGACGATTCTGGCAAACAGCGGCTAGATGAGCAAGCGGAGGTGACCCTGGACTTTATGCGCAGGACAGCGTATGCAGATGTCGACGAATCAAAAGGAGACCCTGGATTTTCTTCAAGGAATCACGATGAGGTCCTCAAATCCCGCTGGATTGTGGGCCAGAGTGTCATTACTGTCGAACAAGCTACAAGAAGTGGCTGGGCTCAAATCACAAAGAGACAGGCATCTGCCACCTCACACTATATGATTCACCAAAATTATGAAGCACCGCGAGCTCATCAAATATTGAGCCCGACTGATGGTGTACGAGACCCAAGTCGTCCAAACAAGAACTGCTTCCTCCCAAGCAATCTCCCTGTGCAACTATTTGCACCTACTTCTAGTTTCATGCAACCCATACACCTGCCAGATGACGACATGATCAAACGTGCTATTTCGAGTCTCGATCGCACTTCTACAGTTGACGGTCACAAGGTGGGTATCGTTTATATTGGCCCGGGACAGAAAAATGAGAAAGAGATATTGCCGAACATCAGCGGCAGCACTGATTATATGGCCCTCCTAGCCGGTCTAGGCACCCTGACGAGGCTCCAGCAGGCGACCTTTAATACACAAGGCTTGGACAGAAATAACAACACAGACGGAGAGTTCACAATTTGCTGGCGAGACCGTGTAACCGAGTTGGTGTTCCATATTACGACGATGATGCCTACCAATCTCGAGCACGATCCTCAGTGTATTGGTAAAAAGCGCCACATCGGCAATGACTTCGTCAATATAATCTTTAACAATTCTGGCAACCCATTCGATTTCAATACTTTCCCGTCGGAATTTAATTATGTCAACATCGTTATCACTCCAGAATCACGCCCCTCGTTTGTTGCTACCCGTGATCGGAGCAGCGTCGACCCTAACACCTCGTTCTATAAGGTTCAGGTCTTGAGCAAGGAAGGATTCCCAGAGGTCTCTCCCGCATCTGAAACTAAGATCCTGAGGCTCAAAGCGCTCCCCGACTTCATACGTTTTCTTGCAC